GGGAATGGGAGAGGGCGGAGGCTCGTGGGGGTGAGAGGAGGAGGGTCGGCGAGGCGGTGGCGGGGCGAGGCTGCTGGCCCTTTGCACGCCTGCTCCTCGGGCAACTCCACCTCGCCGTAGCCCTCGGCGTGCGCGAAGCGGCGCTCGTCGTCCAGGAACCACTGCGGCAGCCCCTTGTCTGCAAAGGCGTGCCGGTTGTACCCGTCGTCCTCGAGCCGCCGCCGCTTGTCGGGCCGAAGCAGCATCGCACCCAGCACCATCGCCTCGGCCTGCCGCTCGATCGCCGCGGCCGCCGACTCTGCGTGCGTCGGCTTGTCCTCGTCCTCGTCCTCCGAGTCGTACTCTGCGAACCGGCCGCCCACATGCTTCCGCGCCACGCCGTCCTGCTCGAGGTCAACGTACTGGCTGCTCGCCTCCGGAACCCCTTCCCCGCTGCCCCCGCCGCTAAACTGCCGTGCGACCGCCTCCGCCGCGCTCCTCGCGCGCTCCGCATCGGCCGCAGCGGCAGCGTCGGCCGCGGCCGTGGCCTTGCCGCGCTTGCCACGCCGCCGCTTCGAGCGCGCCGCGCCGCCCGCCACGCCGTCCGCCACGCCGTCCGCCGCGCCGCCCGCCGCGCCGCCCGGCGCCGCGCCGCCCGCCGTAGCCTCGGGCGCCTTGCCGGCGCGTTTGGCGCGCGCCGCCGCCGCCATCCGGGCAATCTCCTCCGCGTCGTCGTCCTCGTCCGCCTCGCCCGCCCCCGCGAAGAGCGGGTCCTGGAACCAGCGCGACGTGCGCGCGTCCGCCTCCGTCCGCCGCTCCGACCGGCTCGGCCCGCCCACGAGAAGCGAGTTCGGCCCGCCGCCCTCCGCCTCGTCCTCACTCGACTCGCCGCCGCCGGCCGCGTCGTCGTCGTCGTCGTCGTCGTCGGAAGCGTCTGCGGCGGCCTTAGCCTCGCGCGCAGCAACCTGCCGCGGGCTCCTCGGGGTCGACGAGAGTGGCCGAGAGGAGAGGAGTGGCCGAGAGGAGAAGAGGAGCCGAGAGGAGCCGAGAGTAGCCGAGGAGCCGAGAGGAGGAGGAGAGAGGCCGAGAGGAGGGACCTGCCGCGCGAGCTCTTCGGGGTCGACGTCGGCGTTCCGGATCGCGTCGAGCCTCGCCTCGCGCTGCTGCTTCTTCGACTTTGGCCCGTCCGCCTGGGGGGGATATAAACATATATATACAACGGGTGCCAGAGGGGGACGGGTGCCGAGGGCGGTGGCGGCGATAGGGGAGGCGGAGGTGCCGGCCGGCGCGCGGACGTGCGATCGGCGGGTTGGGGCGGTGGCGGGGGGGCGAGGGAAGACCAGCTCTGCGACGGGTGGCTGCGAGAGTGTATCTGGTCTCGGAAGGGTCTCGGGCGTGTCTCGGACGTGTCTCGGGCGTGTCTCGGACGTGTCTAGGAAGCGTCTCGGACGTGTCTCGGAAGTGTCTCGGAAGTGTCTGCCGCGCGCCTGCTCCTCGATGAGGTGCACCGCCCGCCTGCGGGTCCGCTCGCGGTACTCGGCGTGCATCGACTCGAGCTCCGCGTCGAGCCGCGCGGTGTACTCGTCCCCCTCCTCCTCCTCCTCCTCCTCCGACCCCGCCTCCCCGCCCGCAGGCAACCCCCCCCCCTCCTCGTCCTCGTCCTCGTCCACGTCTGCCACCTCGTCCGGCGCCGCGCCCTCCGTCAGCGCGGCGATCGAGCCGTCGCCGCGCACGCGCGCGAGCGAGAAGAGCTCGAGCTCCTCCTGCACGCCGAGCAATCTCGGGTCATCTCGGGTCATCTCGGGTCATCTCGGGTCATCTCGGGTCCTCTCTGGTCCTCTCTGGTCATCTCGGGCACTCTTTCGAGCACTCCCTCGAGCCCTCTCCTGCACGTCGAGTCGGTCCCCCGGGTGCTCCATCTTGAGGGCGAGCCGCTCGCGGAACTTGGCCTTGGCCTCCGCGGCGCGCCTGGCGGGCAGTGACCGGTGCTGGCGACAGCGGTACTGGCACACACCGGTACGGGCTACCGCTGCTACTCAACTGCTGCTGCTGCTGCTGCTGCTGCTGCTGCTGCGGCTACTGCTGCTGCTGCTGTGGCGCGCCGCTTGGCGCCCTTGGCGCGCTGGTCGGCCAGCTTTTGCAGCTCCGAGATCTCCTCCTCCTCCCGCACCGCCTCCGCCTCCGAATCGGACGCGGCGTCGCCGTCGCCGCCGTTGCCGCCCTCGCCGTCGCCGCCGGCCGCCGCCCGCTGCTCCTTCTCCCACGCCGCGGCAGCCTACAGCTCGGAGACGCCAACGTCAGGCGTGAGCATGGTCTCGTGCTGTGTGTGCAGAGCACCGCGGGGCTGCGAGGGGTACGAACACGGTCGCGTGTGCAGCGGGGCACGCGTCCCCTCCCGCGGGTCTGTCTGCCCGTCTTTCTGCCCTCTAGGCTGCGCCGCCTTGCCGCGCCAGGCGAGCAGCTTGCGCAGCTCCGTCTTGTTGAGCACTTTGAGGTCGGAGCACGCCTCGAGCACCTCAGGCTTGGTGGCCTTGAGGCCGCGCCAGAAGGAGCACTCGCCGCTCTCGTCCCAGACCAGCGCGTTGACCTCGCCCAGCAGCTTGACGGGCGCTGGTCCGAGCACGAAGTCGACGACGCGCGCCTGCAGGAGGGGTCCGGGGAGGGGTCCGAGAGAGAGAGAGAGAGAGAGAGAGAGAGAGAGAGAGAGAGGAAGGGAGAGGAAGGGAGAGGAAGGGAGAGGAAGGGAGAGGAAGGGAGAGAGAGAGAGAGGAGAGAGAGAGAGAGAGAGAGAGAGAGAGAGAGGCAGAGAGTGGCAGAGAGAGAGAGAGAGAGAGAGAGAGAGAGAGAGAGAGAGACGCGCCTGCGAGTGCAGCAGCTGGCCGGTCGCCGCGTAGCCCTCGGCGGGCGCCTTCTTGCCCTTCTTCTGCTGCAGCACGTTGGGCTGCTTGGAGCCCTCGGCCTCGTCCACCTCGGAGAAGACGTGCTTCGGGTCGAGGAACTTGGGGTCAATGGCCACCGCCTTGAAGCCGCGGCAGACGACGAAGATCTGCACCGAGCAGCAGGAGGGCTTGGAAGCGGCAGCGAGAGGGCGTGTGCGGGGCAGCGGCAGGGGCAGCGCCGGGTAGAGCCGCCCACCTCGGCCGACTCGTTTCGCAATCTCGGGTAACTCTCGGGTACTCTCGGGTACTCTCGGGTAGAGCCGCCCACCTCGGCCGACTCGTTTCGCGATGCCTGCGGCTTTGTCGCCTCGACCTTGCCGAAGAGCTGGCCGAAGACCCACATCAGCGACTGGTAGTCGGCCGACCGGAACATCTTGGTCACAAAGGTGCCGCCTGCGGAGCGAGCCGGGATGTGCTGGGCGCACAATGCAGAGGGCGGGAGCGCAGACGATGGGGCATTGTGTGTGCACGTGCGTGTTTATGTCTCGGCAGTCTCGCGGAGAGGTCTCGCGCGGCTCGCGGAGGTTTGCTGAGCCGCCTCGGAAGGCGACGCCGACTCGGAAGGCTCTCGGAGCTAAGGCCCGCGGAGGTGTCTCGGAAGGCTCTCGGAGGTGTCTCGGAAGGCTCTCGGACCAGGCGCGAGCACGTCGACTGCCAGTTTGAGGGCGAGCAGAGTGAGCTCGTTCTGGCCAAAGGCATCTTGAAGCCACGAGGTGCCCACGTTCGGCGCGCCGTCGTGCAGCACCACGTTGATCGCCGCGCCCGACCCGCCGTGCGCCTTAAGCTCCCGCTTCACCGCGGCGCGGCACTTTTGCGTCGTGATGTCCTCCTGGAGCACCACGCACTTTGGGATGGGCTTGATGGGCGCGCGGTCGATGCCGATGCACAGCGCATCCTTGGGCATGAACTGCCGCGCCACTTGCATCCACGAGCCGGGCGCCGCGCACAGATCCACGACGCCGGTCGCGGTCCCGAGAAACTCATACTTCTTGTCGAGCTGCAGCAGCTTGAAGGCGGCGCGCGAGCGGTAGCCGCGCTCCTTGGCGAGGTAGTAGAACTTGTCGAGGCGCTTCTTGGCCACGGTACCCTTCTTCGAGGCCGCGGAGCCGCCCATCGTGAAGCGTCCTCGAGGCCGCGACGGCCTTTTTTTCCGTCGGGTACTTATTTTAAGATGAGGTAAACAGCAATAGATCCGGCCCTGAAGCGGCCTAATCGATACCCAGCCCTCACGGAATCGGTCCCTCGTTGTACAGCAATCGATCCTTCACAGTGCCCGTCCTGCCAAACTTGCTGAGAATCGGTCCCCCACCCACCCAGGTCACCTGTGGCGCGAAGCTCATGTCTCCCGCCCTCGGCGCGCCGACCGCGCAGCGGCGGCAGACCACCCTCCGGTTCGAGGGGCGCCTGGGGCTGAGCGGGCTGCCTCCGCCAGAGTTTGGCTCGCCCACCGGCGGGCTGTCACCCTGCCACGGGTCGCAAGCCCTCTGCCGGCCGGAGCGCAGGCTGCGCAGGCTTCCAGGATCCAGCAATTGGTCCCTTGGCAAGCGCGAATCGGTCCCCCTGGCTCCAGGAACTGATCCGGCACTGCACCCGGATCTATTGCTGTTTACCTCATCTTAAAATAAGTACCCGACGGTACATTCGCGGAGGAGGACTGCTGACAGGGTTTGCGATGAGGAGTGACCCGAAGGGTTTCTCGGGGTTAGTGCACCACTAACCGCCTCTGCAAGAGCACTGTGCGTCCTCATTTTTTTGCCTGTGTGGTACCGGGGCCTGGTTCGCAAGGTGGGGTTCGTAAGGCGTCGAGGAGGGTTGGCCGACATTAGAAGACCCCGCAAAAACGCAAGAGCTAGAAGCGAAAAAAATCGTTGCGAGCAGTTCCGCCCCCTTGCTTGCTCGCTCCAAACAAAGCGCCGGCCTTTAGCGCTCGGCGAAGTTCAGCATGTCCGCTCCCATCCAGCAGCCCTTCGAACGCAAGGAGTATGACGTCACCAACACGCTCGCCAACACCATCGCCGCCATGTGCGGCTGGCCGTGCGCGCTAATGAACAAGCAGCAGCTTATCCTTGAGCCAGAGGAGGCCGTACTGATCACCTCGACCATGTGCGACACCAACACGCAGCGGCGGCCCTACGGAGAGCTCGGCTCGGTAGACAAGAGCTCGACCTGTGGCTGCTGCGTCGGAGTGAGCTCCGGTGCGGACGTCGCCGCCTCTCCCGCCGTCCCCACGTCGGCACCGACCTCGCCGTCGCGCACCCGTAGGCCTGGGCGCTATGCAGCCGGGCTGCAACTGCGAGGAGGAGCTCGTCGCCGAGATCGTCGAGGAGCTCAAGAAGCGGATGAAGACGCGCGGCGACACTGGCCAGATCCAGCGCGCGGAGCAGCAGCTGACGGAGATCATGAAGGTCCAGTCCGACATGGCGGCCCTCAACTCAAAGGTGGACGCCATCCTCGCCCACCTCGAGATCAGCGCGCCGGTGCCGCAGGCGATGGCTGTGCCCTATTAGCGGGCGCTTGCGCCAAGCTACGTCAGTGTATACTGTGCCCGACTCGACACACGACAGGCGGACACCTCCGTCGGTGCGCGCGCCGCGTGGTTTGTGTAGTTTTGTTTGTGAGGTACTGTATCTGCAGTCTGCGGCGGTGCAGCAGCCTCTCCTCAGCACGCGCGCAAGCCCCCCCTCCCCGCATTCACACCTTTGTGGAGAGTCGGTTCGGAAAACAAGAGAGTAAACAGAAACCAAGTACCAAGACATGTTGCGGAGATCAGCAGGAGGATGTACGACGAGATTAGGAGCAGCAGGGACCCGAGGGACCATGTGGAAGACGGCTAGTGCTAGTCCCCAATCGGGAGGACGACCCCGGCTAGTCGCCGACCACACCCACAAAGAACCCTGCACAAAGACCGCAGGGCGGGGACCTGTTCCTTTTTACCCATCTCCTAGTAGAGGTGTCCCTTTTATTTATTTAAGTACCAAGACATGCAATACACAATATACACATAAGTCATAACACATGATCATGAATGAGCGGGATCGTACTGGTCTGTGCCCCGGACCTAATCGTTCAAGGACATTCACGATCACAGTTTCGAGAGCGAGCCCAAATAAATAAATAAAACGGTCAAACTCTGAGACGAGATGGGATTTAGGGACATGCGCATGAGCATGTGCATGTGCATGTGCGAGCCCCTGTGCCGCCCCGAATTCATTTTCTTTCGAGCGGCAAGTCCTGCACCACAGAGGTGGCTGTGGCCTCGTCCTGCACCACATTCGCAAAGTCGCCCAACCCGCCTCTGCGCAAGGCATGCGTGATCGAGGCGAGGTCGCGCGTTCGCATGAAGCTCTCCGTCCATGCCAGCGTCGCGTCGAGGTTCACGACGGCGTGCCACCAGCCAGCAGGGAACGCGATCACCTCGCCCGGCCGCTGCACCAAGTCGACCTCGCCAAGGCCCTGGCCGCGGAGAGCTGGCAGCACTTCGTCCATGAATTCGCACGCGCCGCGCGGCAAGTGCAGCCCGAGGCATGCAGCGGCGCGCCCGATCAGATCGGTGCGCGGAGGGTGGAGCGTCTCGCGTGGCACCGAGGGCGGGAAGAGGATCCACCGTTTGTCGCCCACGAAGAGTGCGTTCCACGAAGTGTAGCCCCATGGATCCTGGTGGATGAGCGTTCCAGAGCCCTCTGGGCCCGCAAGCAGCCAGCGCCATACAGGTCGGTCGTCGTGCTCGGCAGCCGCGCCCGCCTCGCAGACGCTGCCTCGTGTGAGCGTCGGCAGACGATCCACGTCTTCGAGAAGGCAGGACTTGCCAGAATCGGCGCTAAAGTCCGAGTCGAAGACGTACAGTGCCAGATCCGCAGTGCCAGATCGCCCACGCTGCGCGTTGGCGGCGACGAGGTAGAAAGGAACTCCGCCGGTCGATGAGCCTGTGTCGACCAGCGCTTGTCCAATACGTTTGCGCAGCGAGTCGAAGGTCCACTCACGAGCTGGCCAGTCGTCAAGCAGGCCTGTCACCACGATCGGCCTGTCAAAGGAGGATGCGTGGCGAGGTCTCCTGATGGTGTTCGGCAAATCTGATCGAGGTGGCCGCACGCTCGAAGCCGCTCAATTCTTGTCGCCCGGGCCTCAACGATGCGCTCGTTGAGAAAGTGCGCTACGGCCGCAGCGGTGGCAGCAGCGCCGAGGCCGAGGACACGGCGCATATAGTTGCAACGAGTTGGCAGCGCGACGTGCACCAGCAAGCGAGAGAGTGGGTCGAGTGGGGAGAGTGGAGTTTGCATCCACCTCTTTCACGGGGACCCGCTTTGTGCGGGGCGGGCCCCTGCACAGCTGGGAGGGGACGACGGCAAGAAACCCAAGGGTGATGGGTTTGCGGCGCAGTTTTTCTTTGTTGAGCCACAGCCAGAAGGCGGAGAAAGGCAAGCAAGAAAAGCGATTTTAGAAATCCCGGTCGCGCTCGAATGCGGGCTCATAAACTATCCACGCGGTGCTCGACGTTCGGCGCGCTCGCCGCCGCGCCGCCGCCTCCCGCCTCTGCGGCACGCCGCGGGGACGCCGGTTGGGCGCCGCCGCCCGCGCCGCCGCCCGCCGGCTCCGAGGTCCGCACCTAAGGGAAGGTCCGGTAAACTTCTCCGCACACAAGGGGTGGTTGGGCAACGGCCGGGCAGCCGACTCGCATCTCCACACCCAGACACGGGCAGGAGCCGGCACGGCAGTCAGTGTCAATGGGCAAGGCCCAGTGACGTGGGTGAGTCCCGCGCCTGCCGGTCGAGGTACTCGAGGAAGTGTCTCAGGAGTGTCTAGGAAGTGTCTAGGAAGTGAGTCCCGCGCCTGCCGGTCGAGGTACTCGAGGAGCGACACCAGCTCCTCGTGCCCGCCGAGCCGCTCCACCTCGAGCAGCACCTTGCCCGCGGGGAAGGCGTGTGAAGAGACGCTGTCGATCGCTGTCGATCGCTATCTGTCCGCTCTCGACCATCCGGAGTGAGCTGGGTTGTGTGATTGGGTGAAGAGACGCCGTTCGCACCGTGAGCCAGCTGCTCCGCCCTCTCCGCAGCACCGTCCCCCTGGAACACTCCTCTCGGGACAACTGCGGCTCCTCTCGGCTCCTCTCGGCTCCTCTCGGCTCCTCTCGGCTCCTCTCGGCTCCTCTCGGCTCACCTCGTGCTTGAGCCTGCCCAGCTCCGCGCGAGTATAGTCGAAGCTGCCGCACGCCTGCATGTGACATCTCGCGTAATCTCGGGTCATCTCGGGTCACTCTCGAGTATAGTCGAGGCTGCCCGCACGCCTGCATGTGCTCGACGGCGTACCGCTTGATCGGCTCGCTCTCCGTCCTCTTCTTGAGGATGTGCAGCAGCTGCGAGTCGGACGGGCTGCGCCGGAGGGCAGAGGGGCGGCGCTGTGAGCGGGACGCGCACTCCCTGCCGCCGACACTGCCGAGCGACACCATTGCCCGAGCAGCGTGTTGGGCAGCGCGCTGGAGGCAGAGGCAGCAGACATCGATGGAGTGAGGGGTGTGTCCGGCATCGACTTCCTTTTGTTGGCATCTACGGCGTGTGGGCCGCGAGGTGATGCAGTGGATGATCGGGAAGGAGAACTTGCCCTCGGTGAGGTCCTCGGCGTACGACTTGCTCGCCTAAAGAGCAAGAGGAGGGGCGTTCGCAGACAGCTGTGGGCAGTGGCGGGCGCCCCTTCTCCGCGTTGGGCGGCCATGTAGTCGTCGCTCGACAGGTTTATCAGGTCGTCTCGGATCTGAGAGGAGAGGAGAGGGGGGGGGTAAACACCTCCACACGCACGAGGTGGCGGGGCAAGGGCCAGGCTAGCCCTCGCGACTCCGCGTCTGGAAGACAGGAGCCGCACGGCATTCAAAGTGCGAGGCCCGGTGCGTGTGCGTGGGTGAGCTGCCTGAAAGTAGAGAGCGAGCTGGTTGACGAATTAAATTAAACTACATTAAATTAAATGTGCCTGAAAGTAGAGAGCGAGCTGGTTGACGAGCGGCGTGAAGTCGACCTCGCTCGCCGAGAAGGCCTGCGGTGGCACACGAGGCGGCGGCATCGCAGGCTCAGGGCGACGGCGAGGGCGGTGGCGGCGACGGCGGCGGCGGCGACGGCCGCGGCGGCGAGGGCGGCGGCGGCGGCGGTGCCATGCCGGGCGGGGAGGGCGGCGGCGCTGGAGGGAGGCGGCGGCGCAGGAGGCCTGCATCAGCCCGACTGCGAGCCGGAAGAGGCCGCCCGTCTTGTCGAGCACCTATGGGTGGTGGCGTCTGATCACGTATCTTCACTGTTCTCCCTTCTCAGGCCGTCTGGACTGGCAAGCACCATGCGGCGGTACTCTTCCTCGGTGGGGCAGCGGAGGTTGTCGCGCCACAGGATGTCCTGCCCCTGCCCGCGGTGCAGGTTGAGCAGCTCGTGCACGAAGATGTTCATCGCCGCCGGGTTCCCCAGCTGGTGGCACCGCTCGAGCGCCAGAAAGTAGACGTAGTTGGCCGAGTTGATTGTGGTCGGCACGCCGTAGATGGAATGAGCCACGGGGATGCCCCGGCGGAGCGTGGAGTTGTCCTCGATGTCGTCGACGAGTAGCGACGCGTTGTGCAGCTCCGTGATGATCGCCTTGATCACGCCGATCGTATCGGCCGGGATGCGGAGCCACGCGTTGAAGGCGTCGATGAGGCGGCCACGCACATCCTTGCCTGGCACCTGATTGATGTAGTCGTACACTTCGAGGAGTGTTTGGTCCCGAGCGTGCGGGGTGTAGGATGTGGCCATGTCTCGCGACGCGCAGCAACGCCCAGAGCCTGGCGCTCCGGCTGTGGCTACTGTACTCCCAGTCGCGAGAGAAAATGGTTGTGCGATTCCTAGTTGTCTATCTGAAGGAGTTACTTCCTGAAGTAACTTCATCCTTCAGATAGACACTAGCCTGTTCCTTCTCGGTTAAAATCCCTGTGTGGTGGCGGCGTGCCGTCCTCCCATCCCTCCCTTGGGTCGTTGGTTTATTTATTTTTCCTTGATTGTAGTTGGCCCCGCAGGATTGCCGATCACAACGAGAGGACCGGGTCGGGCAAAGCCGGCGGAAAACGGCAATTTTTTGGTGCTGGTAGCCCCCCCCAAAACAGGCCCGCGCGCCCCAGGGGCGCCGCAGGCGCCCCAAGCGGCGCGGAGCGCCGCCGCAGGCGGCGGACAGCAGGTGCGCGAAATTAAACGCCATTTTCGGTTCCGCGGTTTTGCCACTAACATTGAAATCCGGTACAGAACGACTTAGCCGAAACAGCTGACAGACAGACAGAGAGCACACACGTTCGAGACGGGGGTGCGCCGACCGCCGTCGCGGACCCAGTAGAGCTAGATGGTCCCACAGGATGCGCCCTTAGCCTCTGAGCTCGTCCTAGACGTTTTAGGGAAGCGTGGGCAGACCAGAACGCGGCCACGGCGACGCTCCGAGGCTGTCTCTCAGCAGCGCTGGCGGCGATCGTGGCGACGGCGCCTCGCCGCTGCAGCGGCACAGAATCGAGGAGGTGGCGTTGGTGGCAGCATCAATGAGATAGAAAGGCGGCCGTAATGCTGGTGGCGCCTTCGAGGGCGGCGGAGAGGGCGGTAGCAGCGACGGCGATCGAGTCATGTGGCAGGGGTGCGACGATGCAGCAGGGAGGCTTGACCTTGAGTTAGCGACGCGGGGCGGTGGCGTGCCAGCAGGTAAGCGGCGGCGGCGGAGAGCAGGTGCGCGAAGTAAAGGCCAATCTTGAGATATCCATTTTGCACCACCTTTGGATTTCTTGCTTCGCCTCCTGGCGGGGGAGGTTGATGAACGCGGTGGCGACCAGCGGAGAGGCCTCAGTCCCTGTCCGGAGTGTCTTGTGAGTTTGTGTGTGTGCGTGTCGCTCCAGCGTGCGTCCACCCATACCGCGCCGGTGTCCACCGAGCCTGACTGTTCTCAATCCATATACGCACATGGTCAGTGAGGCGCAGGCCGCCAAAGTGACACGTGGCGCGGTAATGTGCATATAATTGTATTGCTCGTCGGGTGACGCGTTTCTCCTTGTCTTCGCGAGAAGCTTATGCGTGGTTCGTTGTTAAGTTGTTTGGTATGTTGCTTGCCGAAATTCTTGTGAGGTCGAACCTCTCGCATTTATCTCGAGGTCTCGAACCAGCTCAACGTACGTAATTAAGGTGCCGGTTTGTTTATCGGAGTTTGTCGTAGCTTCGCGGCGTCCCGTCCCCGGGCTCGCGTATGAGGTGGTGAACGTGCGGCCGCGGAGCTGACTGAGATCCAGGGTGTGCAGCGCACCTTCCTCTTTGTCGATACGAACGAACACGCATATGGTTCAACGCTTCAACCTCGACTACCTCGGCTGCTGACCCTTCTCATCCTGCAGAAGCTGTCGTATATGTCCTGCGTCTGGTGCGCGCGCCCCACTCGGTCTCCCAATTTATATGCCAACTGCCGCTCTCCGCCTCTAAGCTGAATCTCTGTGCTCCAGGAGGATTTGGTGCAGCAGGCAGCTCGCGTCCGAGGGCGGCGTCGCTGCAACGCGGAACCCAAGGGGGGCGCCGCCAGCCTTCTTGAAGCTTGCGTCGCCAACAGCAAAGTCTGACCGACCGCCCACGGTCACCCTCGCATGCATGGATGGTTGGTCCCTTGGTTGGCGGGGAGGCCGCCACAGCGGTGCAGCCTGGCTGCAGCGCCCGCCTGCGCTCGCCAGGCGGCTGCCATTAATTTCGGCGCCCGTGGACCAGGGCTCCAGGCCTCATGTGACCGGTGAGATTTGTTTGGTACGTGCTAAAATCCTCGAGAACCTCGACTCTCTCTGCAGGTCAGGTAGATCTAGGGAGAAGGCCCGTACCTTGAACGAAGCCCGAACCGGCGAATTACCTATTCGAATGGCCTCGGTTCTCGCGGTCTCGCTCCTCTACTCCACCACCGCTCTAGCCTCTCCCACCGCCAAGCTCTGCCGACGATCGGTCTGTGGCGCTGCTGTGCTCGGCGCGCTCCGACCTGCCAACGCAGGCGCTCCAGCGGCTTCGGACCTGAGCTCTCTCTTGGATGAGGTCGAGGCACCTCGCGCCGAGGGTGGGGTGGTCGCCCTGAGGAAACGGGCAGAGGTTGAGGCGCGGCAGATGGCAGAGAGGGATGCTGTGGCGCTCCGGCGGATGAAGGCAGTCGAGGAGGCAAGGGAACGGGAGAGAGAAGCGCTCGCCGCGTCCGGCGTCCCACCCTGCCCCACGGGTGGACCGTTTGGCGACGCCGGTCGGACGGGGGTGCTGACCGCCAAGGTCTGTGCGCGCCAACGCGACGGGACGATAGAGACCGCGCAGAGGACGGGAGTCTTCCTGGTCTTTTGAATAGCTCTGGCCTTCCCGGGAGCCGGGTCAGCTCGGGGCGCTCGCAGGCCAGAGGGGCTCTGTGCACTCTCCTGCCCGGCCCGCAACGATGTATTTAGCATGTTGGCTGTGCGATAGATTGTTAAGAATTTGAGCATGGTCGTTCTGCGCGCAGCACCAATGGGCCACACACACGCAGTGGCTCCGAGCCTACCTAGAGACTAGTCATACACACGCTCTCTCTCACACGCAAACACGCACGACGCAGACGCACCGACCCGCGATCGCCTCGAGGCTCCACGATATCGGCGAGACAACAGACAAGAAAGAGAGCGTCTCTGCGGCCCTCGCCAGGGCGCCCCGTGCACACACACATATTGGGCTGGGGAGCGCGCGCTGGTCAGAGTCTCGACCGGACCCACCGCAGCATGTCCTCCATCACCTCGTGCCGCTGCGGCTCGTTGAGCGCCTCGTGCAAAAGGGAGGGGTACACGACCTTCTCCTTGTCCGCTGCCGGCGTGGACGCGCGCGCGTGCAGCGCCGCCGTGCCCGCCGGCAAGACGACGACATCTGCGCCGCCGTGGCAGATGTAGAACGGGCAGCGGACCTCGGCGGCGCGAGAGAGGGCATACTCGGACGCGTCGACAAACTGGACGCCCCAGCCCGCGCAGATCATGCCGCCAAAGTGCCGCTCGTCCGCGTCGTTCGCCTCGCCGAAGCCCTTTGTGGTCGTGCACTGCGCCGTCGGCGCGCCGGTGTTTGGCCAGAAGCCGGCCGAGAGCGTGTCGAGCAGCCGCGTGAGCGCCTGCCACGCCGGCGAGTAGACAGAGTGGCGTGGCACGAGGCCCTGCCCTCCGACTCGCAGCGCTGGCGCGGAGAGGACCATGCCTCGGAAGCCGCCCAGCGAGCGGTGGCGCTCCTGGACGCGGAGCGCGGCGAGAAGCGCGACGAGGCCGCCCATCGAGTGTCCCATCAGGAAGAAGGGCGCGGCGGCGTGCCGCCCGTGCACATACTCGATGAAGCCCACCGCGTCGCCGACGAGGTTTGCAAAGGGAAGCCGCCGCATGCCGGTGAAGCCGGTGTTGTCGAGGTTGTGGCCGTGCCGCGCGTGGTCCATGGCGTACACGGCCAGACCCTGCTGCGCCCACGCCTCGCCGAGCGGCTGGTAGCGCAACGCATGCTCGCCGTACCCGTGAAACAGTATGATGACGGCTCGCAAGGGCACAGGCTCTGGCGGCAGCCAGGAGTAGGCGTTGCGCCACCCGCCGGAGGGCGCTTCAAACCAGAAATTCTCGCTGAAGCGGACCGCGCCGACGAGCGGTGAGCGCGAGCGGTCGAGCGAGGCAGCATCCGGCGGCGGTGGTCGCGCCGGGGAGGAGGCCATATGTGTTCGCAAGTGTCGGCCCTTGCTCGCAGGTGAAGCGGAGTGAAAATTCTTTTTTCAAGGAAAACGGCAACGCTTTTTGCGCCACTCGCTCGCGGCGGCGGGAGACATGCCGCCGATGCGGCTCGCACTCGCTCGGCGGGCCTCCGTCCCACAGCCGCTCGGGCGTGCCAGTGGTCGGCCTGGCGCTGCGCTGCTCGCACGCTGCACTGCACAAAGCTGCGACAACAAGGGGAGCCTCCTGAGCTTCAGCGTTGAGCAGTGCAGCTGCGGGTGCTCGTGGTGTGCTGTGCAGTGGTGAGAGCGCCTGTTTGGAGGCGAGCTGGTGCTGTGCCAGGGTGCGCAGCATGCGCTCTTGCTCTGTGCTGAGGCATGCTGGCTGGCGCCCAACACAATGCCCTTCGGTACATTGCTCCACGCCGTGCTGGCTGGTGCAGTACTGCCAGCGCGCCGACTGGCGCGCGGGGTGCGCGTCGCCGCGCGTGGCACGGGTGGCTCGAGAGGCGCGGCCGTCGGTCAACCCCGCGGCGCATGGGCGCCGCGGAAGCTGCTCGACAGGCTGCGGGCATCGTTGCGGCAAAAAGCGCCCGCCCTCTGCTTTGCTTTCGCCCGCGTTTTACGACAACTTTCGGTTTATCATCTGCGCGTCGGCGGCCGAGCGCAACTGGTCCGTCTACGGGGCCGCAATCAAGACGACGGCGCGCGGGCAAATGGGTCACACCGTCGCCGACAAGCGCGTCTACTGCCACGAGGCGCTCCACCTCAAGGGCAAGCTTCAGACCGCCGGCTACAAGCAGGCGGTCGAGAAGTGGGACACCGACTCCGACTCGGACAGCTCGGACGAGGGGGACCTCAAGATGTGAGGCAAGCGCGGCGGCGGCAGGGGCGGTGTGGGGGGGTGGGCGGTGGGGACGCTGCTGTGAGCACGTCGGACGCCACGCGCGGGACCTCCTTACGGTGCGCGCCGCGCACGCACGCGCGCGGCTCGCACGCGCGCGTGCGCGTACAGTCTTATAGCTTATACACAGTCGGCACGCGCGTTCCGCGCGTGCCCCGCTGAATACAAATACTACCCATTCTAGAGCTGTTTTGGAATACGTGGAATACGTATTCACAGAGTAGGCTGGGTGGTGCTGGTGGGTGGGCCACAGAACATCGGCCCGCGAGGTGGATGCTAGCATGAGCCCGATCCGTCGCAGTGCTCTTGCGTTTCGGCGGTAGTGATCTGATCACCGAATGCCACGTTCGGATATCGCAAACCGGGAATTACGATTCAAAAAAATGAAAAAAAGAAAAACATCTCGGAGACATCTGTCATGTTCCTTGGACACACAGGGACGATGATCAGCAGCGACCTCAACGCCTCGCTGTCACCCGTGTCGGCCCTGCACTTGGCCGTGGTGATGCTCGTTGTGTGGCGAGCCTTTGCACACCGTGCCACCGCCTACCTGAAGAGCAGCTCGGCCACCGATACGGACGGCGGAACGGATGCTGTGGCAAGCGAGCAGCGCAATCGGCCGCATCAGCGGATGATCCCAAAGGCTGAGGCGGCCGGCGACCTCCAAGCTCGCGATCGGCACCACCTCTCGCTAAGAAAGAACGAGGTGCTTGAGGTCTTGGACGACAGCAAGCTCTGGTGGCTCGTGCGCAACTCTCAGGGCGACGTTGGCAAGGTGCCCTACAACTACATGCGTCTCGTCGAGGATGACGTAGCGAAGGCTCCACGGACACCTGCGCTGGCCAGGCGAGCTGCCAAGGAGCCTCCTCCTCGTGGCTCGTCGTGGCAAAGGAGCTTCGGCTCGTGCTTCCAAAAGTGCCTTCCCGCCTCGCCCGCCTCTCCGCCGGCGTCCGACCAGGGCCAGCTGTGCGACGCCTCCGCTAAGTCCTGTGCGACGCCCCCAACCAGCGAGCTCGCCGCCGCGCTGCACGCCAACCGCGAGGCTCTCGTGCGGCTGAGGGACGTGCTTGAGGGGGCGGGCGGCGAGGTGGACGCGCACACGGACATCTACCTGCTCCGCTTCCTCCTCGCCGAGAAGGGAGACGAGGCGGCGGCCGCCCGCTGGCTCCACGACACCACGCGCTGGCGACTCTCCATCGGGGCGGTCGAGATGCGGCGACAGGCGCTCGCCGGCGCGGCGCTCTTCGACCTGCACCCAGACGTGCGGGCGATCCTGTCGGTGTGTCAGTCCTTCCCGGCGCACGGACGTGCGAGAGACGGCGGGCCGCTCAACATCATCCTGCACGACGGCTTCTCCCCCACCCGCGTGATGGAGACGGTCAGCAGCGCCGGCTTTCTCGGCTCGATGGTCGCGCTGATGGAGCACAACATGGCGGCTGCTGACGCGACCTCCGCGGCGAGCGGCTCGCTCACGCGCATGTCGTTTGTCTTCTGCTACGAGGGGCTCTCGCTCAGCATGATCAACATGCGCTTCCTCACGACCTACTTTGTCAAGGTGGCCGGCCTCGACAGCCGCTACCCGAGCCTCATCGGCGCCGTGAGCTGCGTCAACGCGCCCTCCATCTTCTCCTTCGCGTTCGGCGCCGTCAGGGGTATGCTCTCCGAGGACATCCGCGGCCGGATGCGCGTCGAGAAGCCTGCCACGTCGAGGGCCGCCCTCCTCGCCCTCGCGCCGGCCTGCCACCTGCCCGCCGCCCTCGGAGGCGATTGCGAGAGCATGCCCGCCGCGGTGGCGAAGAGGACGGGGTGGGACCGCGTCGATCCCGCCGAGAGGAGAGGGCTCCACGCCGACTCGAAGATCCGGTGCTATCTCTGAGCCGCGCCCTGGCGAAGCGACCACCCGAGGAGGCACCCGCGCTCACGCAGAGAGGCAGAGGGCTCTACGAGGCGCTCGAGACGACGAGAGGCGCTCATCTGTGCGCTCTCTGGCCTGGTGCTCTGCACGAGGGGTCGAGGGGACGAGGGCCTCTGCGCAGCTCGTGGCGCGCACGCGGAGCGAGGAGCCGTGAGGTCGCCCCCGGGGCCCGCGCGCGTACTGCTCAGAGCTAAAAGCTATCTGGCGTTCTCGGCGGTTTTTCGTATGCATAATTCCTTCAGCTTCACGTTCAGACATGTTCCATCACCCCATTTCCTCTCCTGTCATAGCGACGCCGTCCACGTCCCCTCGTCATCGCGCAGCCTCACTCCCATCCCCTTGAGCTCCAACTTGATGGCGTCCGCCGCCGCCCAGTCCTTGGCCGCCCTCAGCGCCGCGCGCTTCGCGACCAGCGCCTCGGCGGCGGCCGCGTCGACCGCTGCGCCCTCGCCTGGCTGTGGCTTGGCGCGGCAGTAGCGCGCCGTGTGGCCTGGCTTGCCGCACTTGTGGCAATTGCCCGCTCCCGCCTTTGGCTTGGGGCACGACGCCGACAGGTGGCCGTGCGCGCCACAGTTGTAGCAGCGTGCAGCGGCCGGCTCGCTCAGTGCCGCAGTAGGGCAGGCCCGCGCCTTGTGCCCCTCCTCTCCGCAGAGGTGGCAGGCGGTTCGTCCGGCTGGCTTGTCGCACTGTTTGCTGGCGTGCCCCATCTTGCCACAGTTGTAGCAGCGCATCTTGCCGTTGCCACCGACCGCCTGCCTCCTCGCGCCCTCGCTCGTGTCGGCCACAGCGGCCGCGGCCGCTGTGGTGACGTCGGCCACAGCGGCCGCGGCCGTCGCAGCCGCCGCCGCCGACGCGTCGCTCTTCTTCCGCTTGGATCGCTTGAGCGGCTCTGCGGTTGCACCGACAGTCGCGTTGGGCTCGTCTGCGTCGGTCATCCTCTTCTTCCCCCTCTTCTCTGGCTGCTCCGGCATGGCGGCGGAGTGTGCGGAGCCACACACGCGTATTAGTAGGGCGAGTAGGGCAAGTAGTAGGGCAAGCAGTAGTGCAAGCCAGTGGGGCAAGCCACTGTCGTGACTCGTGGACGCGTCATCGCTTTCTTTTTTCACGAGTTCAGTTTTGCTGCTGTAGTCACAGTACACAGAGCAGAGAGGTCAGAGGCATGTGGTCAGAGAGGGGAGAGAGCGTAGTGTGTGCGCGCGCTGTGCGCGGGCCCGCGGGGGCGCGCATCAGAAATTGCCTTTTTTCGCTGCTCAACAGACAACACACCATAGAACTGAGCTCGCACGCGGGCAAACCCTCTCACTGCCCCGGCGCCCACGCCTCGATCTTCTTGGGCAGCAACTGGTTCGACAGGTCCTCTCCGTGGCCAAGGCAGCCGCTTTCGCCCGGGACGGCGGATGCGCCCGACCACTGGAGCCTCCACCCGTACACCTACACGGGGGGCGGCAAGCTCATCCACAGGCACCACCACGGTCCACACGTGCCCGACGCGTGGTGCAAACGCAAGGGGCACCACGGCTGCAAGGACCACTACCCGAAGGAGATTGCGGCGTTCACGCACATGACCGAGGAGGGATACATGGCCTACCGCCGCGGGGCCGCAGACATCATGGTCGTGCCATATAACCCGTGGATCCTGCTGTACTTCACGTCGCACATCAATGTGGAGCTAGTGTGCAGCCCGACGAACGTCATCCTATACCTCTTCAAGCTGATGAAGTACATCCACAAGGGCAGTGACGTCAACCGAATGCAGCTCGTCGCCGACGGTCAGACGCAGCGAGGCGAGCAGGGCTCGGCGGACGGCTCGACCCACCGGCGCGACGAGCGGCGCGACGAGATCCGTGAGTGGCGAAACTGCAAGACGACATGCGCAGGACGGAGACAGCGACGAGGAGGCCGAGCGGGACGGCAACGCGCTCGTCGACGACGAGGCTGAGGAGGAGGGGGAGGAGGGGGAGGAGGAGTAGGATTCGGCGTGGCGCGTCTACTTCCTGCGAGACAAGAGCGGTCGGAGGACTTACGTCGGCGCGAGCCCCGACCCCGTCCGACGACTGCGCCAGCACAACGGCGAGCTCTCGGGAGGTGGCGCGCCCGCCGCGGGACGGCCGTGGCGCATTCTGCTCGTTGTGCGTGGCTTCTCCTCGAAGAGCGATGCGCTCGCTTTCGAGTGGGCGTGGCAGAAGCCGCACACGAGCCGGCACATTGCGCGACAGTGGGGTGTGAAGGGATTCGGGAAGTGCGGCACGCGGTCAAAAGTGTCGGTGCGGTTGGCGGCGCTCGCGCTGTTGCTCGTGCACGGCCATTGGGCCGCGTGCGCGCTGCATGTCCGTGTGTGTGCTCCCGAGGAGTGTGGAGAGGCATTGCCTCTCATCCGGCGCGCCGCCGCGGGACTCACGTGCGGACCGCCGTGAAGCGAGTTCTTTGACTAATATCACATGTTGGGAGACTGATGGGTCAAAAGCATAGATCGTCAATCGACGCGTCGCGCCGTTGCCGATCCGCACACCGAGGTTCTTGGGTGGCGCGCCCCAGCTCTTCACAACGGACGTGGTTTTTTTCCGTTGCTCGCTCCACCACGGGCGACAACAACCGAAAGCGCCTCGCGCCATGCAGCGGGAGGAGACGGAGGAGGAGCGGCGCGCGCGGCGCCTGGCCAAGAAGGCGGCCAAGGAGGCGCGCAAGGCGGAGACCGTGGCGGGCTACTCGAACAGCACCAATCCGTTCAACGATCCGAACCTGAATGAGCAGTTTGTGTGGGGCAAGAAGCAGACGCGCGACGGCACGACCGAGCAGGAGGCGCGCGCGACGGCCAAGCGGCGACGGCACGAGGTGGCGGCGGAGCTGCAGAAGGTCAAGGAGTCGCGCGAGAAGGGCGAGCGCGAGCGCGAGGCGTGGGAGGCGGAGAAGCGGCAGCTCGACAAGGAGCGGGAGCAGATGGCGTTTGCAGACAACCAGCGGCGCGAGGACGAGTTCCAGCTGCAGCAGGAGCGCTCGCGCGCGGTGCGGCGCGTCGAGGAGGGGCGCGCGCGCCTCGTCGACCTCCTCACCGCAGGGCTCTCGCTGCTCGAGAGCGACGCCGCGCCGTCTGAGCTGCTGCCGAACGAGGTGCCGGACCCGCTGGCGGTGTTTGAGCACAGCAGCGAGGCGGAGTTGCGCGAGCTGCAGGGAGAGATCTCGAGGCACTCCGACCTCGACTCGGGCAACGCCGACTTTTGGGCCGCCATGGGCCTCGTCTGCGACGACGCGCTGCAGGCGTCGTCGGGGGACACGACGGTGACGGCAGAGGTGCGGGGCGAGATCGACGCGATGCTGGACGGCAAGTCGCCGGCGGAGCTGGACGAGCTGCAGGGGCAGATCGTCGAGCTTCCGCGGCAGGACCCAACGCCGACTACTGGGGCGCCGTGCTCGCGCGGCTGCTGCTGGTTCGCGCGCGCGCGGTGCTGAGCGGCGCGCACGGTCGGATGCGGCGCAGGCAGGCAGAGGTGGCGCGGGCGGGAGGCGGCGGGGCCGGGGGCGGCGCGGGCGGGGGCGGGGGGGCGGGGGCGGGCAGCAGCTCCGGCGCGGCGGCGGTGGCGGCGGCGGCAGAGGAGGAGGAGGAGGAGGAGGAGGGCGGCGCGGGCGCAGAGGTGTCGGAGCTGCTGGCCACCCACGAGGCGTCACTGTGAACAGCGTCTCTTCACGCCTCGAGGTGTGAACAGGTGTCGGAGCTGCTGGCCACCCACGAGGCGGCGGCGGAGGCGGAGGCGGACGGGCGGTACAGCCCGGAGCCTCTCTCGGCGAGGCAGGTGGACGCGTCGCAGGCTGTCGATGCCGAGTCGGACGCCGCAGCCCTGCAGGCCGCCCGCCGCCGGGCGAGGAGCGCGTCGAGGCTCGCTGCGTCCAAGGCGGGGCCGGCGGCGGCGGCGGGGCCGACGGGGCCGGCGGACGGGGCGGCGGCGGAGGGGGAGGGGGAGGGCGACGGGCGGCTGGTGCAGGCGGAGGCGCGAAAGGGCATGGAGGCGGGCGAGGCTCGCTTCTCGGTCGAGGTGGCCGTCGAGGAGAAGGCACTCCAGCCGCGTGCTCACGCCCCAGCCCTCCACCTCTCCTCATCCAGCGCTGCCTGCACTCACACCCCTCCCCTCCCCTCCAAGGCCGAGTGGTGGCACGACAAGTACCGGCCGCGCAAGCCAAAGTGCGAGGGCCGCCGTGGCCCCTCCCCCCCTCCCCCCCCCCCCTCTCCCCCCTCCCCCCACACCCTCCTCGGCGCGAGCCGCCGCTCCCACCGCGCGCGTGGCCAACGCCTCTGCTGACTCCCCTCGCCCCCGCCCCCGCCCCCGCCCCCGCCCCCGCCCCGCCACTTTCTCACCTAAGCCCACCTGTGGCCGCAGGTACTTCAACCGCGTGCACACCGGGTACGAGTGGAACAAGTACAACCAGACGCACTACGACCACGACAACCCGCCGCCAAAGATGGTGCAGGGGTACAAGTTCAACGTCTTCTACCCCGACCTGATCGACCGGCGCAAGACGCCGACCTACTCCCTCTCGCCCGACCCGGGCTCGTCGGACACCTGCATCCTGCGCTTCCACGGCGCACCGCCCTTAGTCATGCCGCAGAGCCACGCCTCACGCACCTACTCGCTGGCCGCTTGATCTCGCCGTCTTCTCGCGACATGGCCGCTGCCCCTGCCTCGATGCGATGCTCGAGAAGGCGTGGTGCTGTAGAGTATGGCCCTCACCCGCCTCTGCCCTTCGCCCCTCAGGCGGCCCTCCGTACGAGGACATCGCCTTCAAGATCGTCAACCAGGAGTGGGAGACCAACCACAAGCGCGGCTTCCGCTGCCGCTTCGAGCGGGGCATCCTGCAGCTCTACTTCAACTTCAAGCGCCACCGCTACCGCCGCTGACTGGGTGGGGGATGCGCCGTGCGCGCTCTACTGCCGCCTCGAGTCGAGAGGAGCTGCCGCGGTGTCGCCTCGCGCTTTCGCGCGCTCGATCGCGCGCGGCGGAGAGTCTTGGCGGAAGCTGGAAGAGACGCAGACGCCGATCACCAAAATACATCCAAGAAACCCGCCGGCAGCGCGAGCTGCCGGCCACATTGAGAGCTGTTCGTCCACCGCGTCGCGCACTCGTCCCAACCGGGGGGGGGGGGCGCAGACGCTCGTTCTGCGCGCCAACGGCTGGTGACGCTGTGTTGCCCTTGAGCTAGTCCCCTTCCCCGGTCGCCGGTCGCCTAGCCTCTGCGCTGTCTGGCGAACGCCTGTATCCCATGCGCGCGGACCACGCTTGCGTGGATGCGTGGCTGGCAGGCTGACCCCCCATGCGCCATGGCTGAGTGACCCGTGTGCGGGGTAACCCGCGCACGGGGAAGCTTCAGCCTTCACGACGCAGGGCGATGGCGCTAAGAGGTTCCTCTTTTCCGCGCCCCCCCCCGCAAGGCGCGCGATACACAAAATGCGTGTTACGACTTACGTTATATACGTATATCATGTATCGCGGGGGAGAATGGGAGGTTGGAGCGCCCGCCGGCTCCCCGCCGCGCTGGCCGGCCAGGCCCCGGCGTCGGCAGCGCCAGCGGCAAGATCGTGGCATGCGACGGTCGCTCCAAAACGATCGTTCTCCCCCCCCGCCCCACAACCAACAGGAATGGAGTTTTTTCTGACTGTCGTAACCGCAAACTGAAACAACGGCGCGCCTGACATTTTGTGGACTCTGACATGCACACGCGTGCCACGTCGCGCATGCACACTGCAGGTGCGGCGCGGTCGAGTGGACATACACTCTGCCTCGTTGACTTGTTCTGCGGTGCTGGCGGTGTGAGCCACGGAGCTGCTATGGCCGGCGTGGAATGTGTGCTGGCTGTCGATAGCAACCAGCTGTGCTTGGACGTGCACAAAGCAAATCATCCTGGCGCGCACCATGCCTGCATCATTCTCGGTGGGGAACTGTCCGAGCTGCAGCAAGCTCTCACAGCTGCTGTGGGGAACAGGCCTTACCATCTGCACATGAGTCCGGAGTGCAAGCGGGTGTCCAGAGCCAACTGCTGCAGGACTGAAGAAGGCGTCGAGAGCACGATCTCACTAATGCAGTGGTGCCTCACGCTCGCAAGGCGATTGCAACCCGAGCCTGCGACGTGGACCCTGGAGCAGGCCCACGCGTTCGAGGTGTACACCGCATTCCCGCAACACATTGTCGTCCGCTGTGAGCAGTTTGGTGTTGCCCAGACTCGGAAGCGAATACTCATGGGCACCCCGCAGGTCTTGCAGCGGCTCCAGGAAGCACTCATTCAGACGAGAACTCCAGCTCAGGTTCTGACGCACCTGCGTCCCTTGCGACAGTATCTACTCAAGCTTGGCACGACAAACACGTCAATCAAGAAGAAGGAGCAGCAAGCAGCGGAGGGAAGAAAACACACGCGCATTGCGACCATGCAGTTTGTGCGACCCTTGAGTGTGCCAACCTATACAGTGACGCAAAAGAATCTCTTCCTGGTGGATACGCGCACCAGGAGCATTGTGCGGACGCTGAACAGCAGAGAGCTGAGTCTTCTTCAAGGCTTCCCACCGCAATACCAATTTGCGCTCCGCCGTCAAAAGGATGTGGTGAGGATGGTCGCAAATGCTGTGCCGCCACCTGTAGCTGCGGCCATCTTGAAGTGTGCGCTTGAGGTTGTGGCGGCGCCAGCGTAGAAGAGTCTCTCTCTCTCCCCAGCGTAGCACGTGATTTTCAGGGTATGTGTAGCTCGCTTGCACACGCGAACATATACTACAGGTACAAGTTTCTCCGAGACCTCGGGAGCGGGCAGTTATTCACACCTCGGCAGTGTGGGGAGGGCAGGGCAGGGCAGTGTGGATTTAACACCCGGGGCAGGTAGGGGATCGGGCAGGGCAGTACGGCAGGGCAGGGCAGGGCAGTTGTGCGGCAGTATATGCGGCAGGGCAGGACCACACAAGCAGAGTGGGCAGACATATACCCAAGAAGGTGGAGAGACTGTTGACAGAGTTTGCGACGAGGAGCGAAGGAATTATTTTGGGGGCATCACCGCTCTCAACGGAGTTGCTTAGGCGGCTCCGATGGTTTGCCTGTGTTGGTGTGTCAGCACGCGCCAACAGTCCGTCGAAACAGTCGGTGCACAACACACTGCGAAAATTTAGGTGGCTCGCCGTCCTCGCAGGAGGAGTCGCTTAGGCGGCTCCCGTGGTGTATCTGTGTTGGTGCCAGTGCGTGCAAGTCCCGTGTGCCCAGTGTTGCGGCCTGTGCGCGGGCTGAAATTCTTTTTGCAGAGGTTGATACAGGCTGTTTCATTCGAGAGGAGCCGCCGCGGTGTCGCCTCTCTTTCCCGCGAGAGTCTTGGCGGAAGGAGGGAGCCTCCTGTACGCCGCCGGACTATCAAGCCCAACTAAAGATAAAAATGAAGAACGTACGCTAGAATGCACGCATACCCACGTTTATTCTTAAGTTCATACGAAGCTCGTACGTTCCCCTGTTTGCTCGCGTCGGCGCCGCCGAGCGCTGCACGGAGAGCATATTCACTGACCACCAACGACAGGTGTGCGACTACGCGCTCGTCTACGCGGAGAAGAAGAACGACGGCGACGCGCCGTACTCGGTCTCCTTCACCGCGACGCAGAGCGGCGACGTCATTGTGCAGCTCCACCCGCACTCACAGCTCGAGCGCGCGGTCCGCCATGAGCGGCAGGCGCAGGCCACGGAGCCGCCCGCGAGCGCGAGCCCTGCGGCGCCGCCAGCCCCTGCCGCCGAGCCGCCAGCTGCGGAGCCGGCGACCAGCATGACGTACGCCGCCGCAGCCGCATTGCACCCGCAGGGTGCCACCGCGGGAGGCCAGCCCGCCGCGCCTGCGGGCCCGGCCGCCGCCGCGCGCGTGCCGCCGCCGCCGGCGGCGGCGGCGTGCAGGCGCGGCTGCACTTTCACTGTCCCTAATCCGGGAAGGAAGCGCGGGCAGCAGCAGCGCGGCAAGGGCCGCAGTGCCAGCGGCCGCGCCAATGCTGGACCCCGGCTCGTCGACAAGAACGCGCTGTCGGCGCGCGGCGGCGGGCCCTCGCGCCAGTCGCGCTCTCCCTCACCGGACTCGCCGCCCGCCAAGCGGGCGTCCTCCGCCGACTCCTCCGGCTATGACACCGATCTACCGGACGAGGTGCAGCAGGAGGCGGTCCGCAGGGTCTGCGGCGCGCTCGGCCTGATAGAAGGAGCAGTACGACGCGGCGGTGGCGGCGGGAGAGCTGCTCGAGCTGCTCGAGAGCCTGCCGCGAGGGACAGTCGAGGCCTCCATCCGGCTCATGCGGGGATACACCCGCACGGGCGAGTGGCCCGAGCCCATCCTACCCAGCCCTGCCCTCGTGCCGCCGAGTGCGTATCCTATGCGAGAGAGACCCCCTGTGCCCGTGCCCAGCCCTCTCCGCGCCGCGATGCGCCCTCCCCCCTCGCTTTTTTTTGCAAAATCCTGCAAAGGTGGGGACGTGTCTGTCCTCGACCCAGCCCTAGCTTGGTTGGGATGTCTGTTTTATTTATTTATTTATTACCCACGCTAGGATCCCTACGTATGACGGTCGAACCCGCGTTTGTGATGTCCGCTAAAACACGCCAGCCGCCACAACACCAACAGGTAGGTAGGTAGGTAGAAAGGTGAAGAACAGCCAGGCTCGGGACACCAACAGAATTGCCGCGGCCCCGGTCAAGAAATAATACACACGAATCCGAAAAAGTTTGAAGGGAGGATTGGCGCCCTCTCCTTGGTGTTCCTCCCCAGCGAGCGCGTCATCCCAGCGCGTCATCCCAGCAGCTGTCTGTAGCTACTCAGTTGCGACATCCGATGCTGACCCACGGCGGCGGACACAGCTCCGACACTAATGACGACCTAGACGAGGCATCGAGCTGCAAGCACAAAATGATGGTGGTCCCGATATCCACGCTGCTGCAATTCGACGGCATCCCGTCGTTCGAGGAGCTGTGCTTCGCCGGGCTGTTGGTGGAGTGGAAGAAGGGCATGCAAACCGCCTTCATTTCGCACACCTGGCTCGGCGCGGATCACCCAGACCCCGACGGAGAGAAGATCGCGCTGCTTCGCAGTGTGCTGCTGCAGGTGCAGGCGGGCCAGCTCGAGGCCCACCCGCACTGGACGCTAGCGTTGTCCAACCTCACCGGCCTCCGGCACAAGCTCCACAAGCTGCGGGGCGGGTTCGTCTGGCTCGACTTTTGCTGCGTACCGCAGCGCGCCACGCAAGTCAGCCGGCGGAGCAAGGCCATCGCCTCCATCCCCTCGTACATTGCGCGCTGCACCCACTTTCTCGTCCTTGCCGGGGCGTGGAAGCACCGGACGGACGGATCGCCTCGGGACCTCCACGCTTGGCTCGGGCGAGGCTGGTGCCGCATGGAGATGCTGTCCAATGCCCTCGCTCCAAAGCCGAGGGCGCTCATCACCATCGAGTCCTCTTCCGCAGTCCCGATGTGGGGGTCGGGCGGCGTGCTGACGCGGGGCTGGGTCACTTGCGGAGTCGCAACGGGCGCCTTCACCGACGAGCGAGACCGGACGTCGCTGGGCCCCGTGATTCTCTCGCTGATCGCGAGGCGAGAGAGGCAGGCGCTCAAGGAGGGCGACCTCACTTTCTACCGCAGGCTGCGCGCGGTCACGGGCAAAGTCCTCGACTCGACGGGCCTACAGCCCACGCTGCCAGCCAGCCTCGACGACTTCCTTGCGGAGTATCGCTTCAAGCACGCGCTTGACAGCGGCCAAACCTCGCCCCTGCACTGCGCAGTCCTCGCCGGCCGGGCGGACATCGCGACCGTGCTCTTGGACAAGGGTGCCGACGTGGAGTCCGCCGTCAGGGACAACGACGTGCGCTTCGAGGGGCTGATCAAGGGGATGACGGTGCTGCACGTTGCGTGCATCATCCGTGATCGTCCGGACCTGGTAAAGCTTCTCTTGGCGCGAGGCGCCGACCCTTCACGCACGACCGACGGAATGCGCCTCTCGTCGCTCCACTTTGCGGCTATGGGAGGGAACGTCGGCAACATCGATGCCCTGCTTGCGCACGACCCCTCCCTGGGGCGGGTCGGCTGCAGGTTTGGCGGCAGGCCCTTTGTTTACGCTGTCATGTACGGCGGCGCGTCTGCGATCCAGCACCTCTCACGGGAGTACCCAGAGCTAGTCGAGGTCTCGTGGGACGGCAAATCCACCGCTTCGCTCGCCCTCACCACCGTGGGAGACGTCGCCACGCTGCGCGAGACGCTGTCCACCGCAGGAGGCGACGTCGACTTTGTCGGGCCCGCAACTTCGCCCGGGCTTCGCCGAGTCTTCCGCGCCACTGATCTGATGGTGAAGCTCGGCACCCTCCGCCTCGTCCCACGGCAGCGCCGCGCGCTGCTCGAGTACATGGCCTACTCGTCGAGATGCGCTGCCATCCACCGCGCCGCCTACACCGGCCACCTGCTCGCGATCGACTTGCTGCTCAAGTCAGGCGCCGACGCAAACTCCGACAGACACCCGTACAACATGCAACCCCTCCACATCGCCGCCCTGCGAGGCCACCACGGGGTGGTCGCGCGCCTCCTCCGCGCGGGAGCCTCTCCGACCGCGCGCTGCTCTCGCGGCCGCACGCCCGCGGCATGGGCCGCCAGGTCGGGCCATCACGCCGTGGTGGAGCTGCTCGACCGGGCGGCCGCTGGCGACGGCGTGGGGCGAGGGGGCGGCGACGGGAGCGCAGCGGCGAGCGGGGCTGAGGAGCTGCGCCGAGAGGCGAGCGGAGGCCTCAGCGGAGCCGACAGGGCGGTCGGCTCGTGGGCGGTGGTACGACTGGCCGTTCTTGTCGCGATTGGAGACGGGGGGGCGACGAGACATGCAGCTTGCGCGTGAAAAGTGTGGAGTATTCGCCCCCCGTCCGCTCTCTCTCGCGCTGTTCGCGCCACCAGCACCACTCGTGTGTGCGCCCCGCAGTGGGCAGTGTTCACAGTGTTTGTTGGCTCCGCGTTTTCCCCGCGCGCGCTGTTGTGTTCTAGCTTTGCATATGCACTGACGTACTCGAGGTGCATGGGACGCACCGTCATAAGTAAAAACGGACCTCACTAGAAGTGGAGATGGGTAAAAAGGAGCCGGTCACCGAGCACGAATGCTCAGTCCTCCGCCTGGCCCTGTGTCTGCTTGCGGTAGAGGCCGGCAAGCTGCTCCGGCGTCGTCGCGTCGCTCAAGCGCTTGTCGGGACGCTTGCGCACAAAGCGCGGGAAACGCATCGAGAGGCCACGCGTCGGGTGCACGAGGCCAGCAGCAGCCATGTGCACGGGCGAGATGGTAAAGTCGGCCCCGCGCACCTCCCACACCTCGCACGGCGTGAACCAGTACTGCGCGCGCTCGCCTGTCTCGACGTCCGCCGGCCTCGAGCCGCGAAGTAGGGACGAGCCGCCGCCGCCGCCGCCGCCGCCGCCATCTCCCTCCTCCTCCTCGCCCAGCTCCTCCTCGTCACCCTCCGCCTCTCCGCCGTCCTCGTCGTCATCCTCCCCCTCCCCCTCGCCCGCCGCCGCCCCCGCGCCGTCGTCGCCGTCGATGCCGATCTCGCTGCCGAAGTACTTGATCGTGTTTTCCCTGTAAAAGGCGTCGCTGAAGCCGCTCATCACGCGGCACACCGAACCGTAGGTGCCGCTCGCCGCGTCGTAGGTCGCCATCAGCCACGGGGAGACCCACCTCTTCTTGCGTCCCTGCCCGCGCCACCCGCCAATCGGCACGAGGTCGAGCGAGTCCCCCATTCCGTCGATGTAATCCTTCTTGCACTTGACCCACCCGTCCGAGCGGCGCGTGCCCCAGCTCGGCTCGTACGCCGCGTCCAGCCGCTTGAGCATCAGGCCCTCGCACCCCTCCGCCACCGCCAGACGCAGCGCCGCAGCGATCGCGCCACTGCCGTCGTCCATCTCGCCACCGCCCGCCTCGCCGCCGCCCACCACGCCCTCGCCCTCATCGCCCGCCGCCGGCGCGACCGTGGCAGCGCCGATGCACAGGTCGACGCTGGCGGCGAAGCTGACGGCGCTCTCGATCGGTGCAAACTCGGCGCGGAGCGCGTCGCGGCGCGCGCTGACAAGCGGTGGGTGGGAGAGGAATTTGTGGTGAGGGAGTGGCGGTGAGGGAGCGGCGGGAGGGGAGGAGGGTCGAGACCAGAGAAGGCTGTGGGGAGGCACGCGACGACAAGGCAGCGAGCGAGAGAGGGAAGGGGGGGAGGGCTGGGGAGCACCGCAGCGGCCGTGCGAGGAGCGACTCATCGCCGAGAAGGAGGAGGTCGAAGAGGAAGAGGCAGACCGGAACCGAGGCCGCGGCGGCGTTGCCGGTGGTGACGCCCTTGCGCTTGCGCGTCGAGAGCGATTGGAACGTGCCCAGCGCGGGAGCTCCCGGGGCGCCCGCCTCCGAATCTGCCGCCGCCGCCTCGTCGACGGCCGCGGCGGCGGCGCCCGGCGGCGCGGCGGCCTTGAGCGGCACAATCTCGGCGTCGGCGACGAAGGGCCGGCTGGAGCGCGCGCTGCGCTGCAGCGCGGCGACGACGTCGGGGTACTTGCTCGTCATGTCGTCGAGCTTGCGCGAGAAGATGCGCACGCTGCCGCACGGGGCGCGGTGGAGCTGCGCGCGCTGTCCGTCATACTTGTGCTCCGCCGCAAAGGCCGCCGGCCCGCCACCCGGACCGCGCAGGAGCTTGAGCGCGTCGGCGATGGAGGAGCAGGGCCTGGCGAGCCTGGGGTATGGAATGCTGGAGACTCCGGGGGGGGGAACGCGAGGAGGGGGGGGGGGGGTGCAGGACTACGACAAGGGACTGCCGCCCGAGTGCTTGCCAGTAGACGCCAGGCCCAAGTTCAGCATCTAGGCTGGCGAGCATGGGCTGCGACGGCACCCCGGGCGCGAGCGAGCACGCGGCGGAGAGCGCGCCTCGAAAGGCGGCGAGCGGCTCGGGCGCGCGCGGCGCGTCCGCAAGCCGCAGCGCCTCGACAAGGACGCTCACGTCCGGCCGTAGCGAATACGCACCGCGGATGGCGTCCTGCATGCGCTGGACGGCGGCGGCAGGCGGCAGCGGCGCGGCCGCCGCCGCATGCGCGTGCATCAGGCTGGCGGCCGCGAGCGCCGGCAGGACGGACGCCTCGAGGGAGATGCCGCACGCCATGTGGGGCACAAAGGTGCGCACCTGCGGAGTGGATCGAGTCCTGACCTCGGCACCGGATCGACCCCGTCACAGGGGTGCGCACCAGCCACTTGATCTCGCTGCCGGCGGCGGCGCGGAGCATGTGGCTGAGCCTCGTCGCCTTTGCCTTCTCGACGCCGGCGCCGCCGAGCGTCGCGAGGCCGCGGAGCTTCTCGAGGATGCCGCGCGCCTGACTTGGGGGAGGCTCGGCTAGTCTCGCCGAACCTCGGCTCCTCTCGAGCTTCTCCGAAGGACGCCGCGCGCCGAGTTGGGCACCGGCCTCTTCAGGAACGTCTGGCGGCCGCTGCCGGCGTGCCCGTCCCGCACCGCGAGCGCGGCGTCGCCCGAGTCGCGCAGTTTTGCGTACGCGGCGGAGTACTCTGCGCGCGGCGCGTTGGTCGCCTCGAGGATGGCGCTTGTGATCGCGCCTATCTCTCGGCTCATCTCGGCTCATCTCGGGCGATCTCCCTCTCCCGCCACGTCCTCGCTTTTGGCTGCGACCGTGCGACAGGCCGAGCGGGCGCGCGTCGGTGGACCAGTCGGGCCGGAGGCGGTGTCCGCCCGACTGCGCGTCCTTGGCGGGGCTGAGCAGGTAGCAGCACGCCTCGAGGCAGCCGGGCGACGCGTCTAGCGCGAGGCACGCGCCTACCTTAAGGTGTGCGGCAGCAGTGCAGAGGGCGGTGGGGAGTCGCGCTGTGCGGAGGCGGAGAGTGCGAGCGTCGCCCCCAGCATGGCGTTTGGGGCCGGTCCCGCGGGTGCTGCGTGGATGGGGTGCTGCGTGGTGCTCCACCCCCGCCTCAGCCCCCGAGACGTGCGCGTGTAGCGAGGAGATCGCGCAGACGCGGCGGATCTGCGCTCTGAACGCGGCGTCCTTGCGGTGGCGTCCGTGCGAGAGCAGAGACAGAGAGAGGTGGATTCCGCATCTAGCTGGGTTTGCGGAAGAAGTTGGTCAGCACCAGCTCCTTCGTGAGGCGCGAGCGCGTCGCCGAGACCGCGTCGAGGGCGGCGGCGATGTGCGAGTACGGCACCGGCGCGGCCGACGGCCACCCCGCCGCGCCAGGCGAGTAGAGGTGGAGGGCCTCGGTCAGCTCCGTGCGGCAGGTCGGCGGCGGCTCTGCCTCAGAGGGCGGTGGTGGCAGCGCAGAGGGCCCGTGAGTCGCAGGCGCGGCCACGGCCGGAGTTAGATCGCGAGCAGGCGACGGGGCGGCGGCCATCGGGAGGGAAGAGGGCGAGGCGCCAGTCAGGTCGATTGGCGCCGAGCCGCGCTTGCGCTCTGGCGAGGCGAGGGGCGGCGCGGGTGCCACCGCGGCGGCGGAGGAAGTAGCGCTCTCGCGGCGGCCGCCAAAAAAGGCGGAGAGGGTGCACTGCCTCTTGGCGCTCGGGATGCGGCCGTGCTCGCCGGCGTCGAAGAAGGTGTTCGCCGCAGTCGACACGTCGCCTCCGGCCTCGGCCAGCAGTGTCCGCAGCAGCGCCTCTGACGGCCGCTCGCCCAGCATCGCGCGCAGCGAGACGTAAGACGCGTCGTCGCTCACATTCTCCGGCCCAGCTGCCGCCTCTGCCTCCTCGCCCACCTCGGCGTCAGGCACTGGGACAGGAGCTGCCGCGATCGCCGCCACCTTGTCCTCCTCGCTCGCCTCGGTGTCAGGCATGGGAGCTGCCGCCACCGCCTCTGCCTCCTCGAGCCGCCACGCCGCGATAACCTCATCCTCCACGAGGACTCGGAGGAGGTCTCCCGCCAGCAGGTCGACGCGCTGGGTGGTCGAGGCGTGCAAGTCTTGCCCCTCGCGAAGCACGCGGAGCTGCGCAGAGCTGCCGAGCAGCTCTATTTGAGGTGGAGCACCGTCGACCGGGTGCAGTGAAAACAGCCGCCTCGACACCTTCTTGTTGAAGATGCCGGTCGCATGAGCAGCAGTGGCGCTGTCGCGGCCGAGTGTGATGGCACCAGAACCCGCAGCGCCAATCCCGATGGCGCGCAGGCTGGGAGGGAGGACTGGCTGGAGCGTGAACCTGTACCTGGCGGCCAGCCCACCCTCAGCGTCCCCGCGCACGGTGTGCATCAGGAAGCCATTCATTGCTCGTTTTTCCGCTGGTCGCGGAAAAAGAATTTAAATTTAGGGGGTCTGTTTTCTTTCTTTCTATCCCTCCCTTGGATGTGTGTTTTCTTTCTTTCTTTCAGTGTCGTGTCGTATCGTGCGAAAAAGAATTTGCACACGAAAAGAACTGCCCCAAAAGAATTGGATCGTCCCCACTAGCACAGGAATCGGTGCGACGGTGCTCGGCTGTGTTCACTTCAAGTGTTACGAGTAACTTCATCAACAACAACGGTTGTCAACGCGTCACGAAAAGAAAGAGGACAGACAAGTGCTCCAAGAAACAGGCCACGGCGCACGGGGACCCCGGGACCCCAGCACACCGCTCAAAGACAAGGGTGGATAGAGGCGCGGCGCGGCGCGGGGGTTGAGTGTGCCGCAGCGCGCGCACCGCCGGGAGCCGCAGGTGTGTGCCGGTGTGTTTTGTGAGCGGAGTCCAAAAGTACCAGGACGCAAGAGAAAAACATCGCATTCTCAAGTCACTCGCCCGGCCCGTAGCCTTGCCTGGCGAGCTCCGCTGCCAGGCTCGCGTCCGCGAAACCGAGCGGCGTGTCGCCGTCAAGGTCGGCGGCCGTGCAGTCGGCGCCGCGCCGGCAGAGCAGCAGCGCCACCTCGGTGTGCGACGCGGCGCACGCCATGTGCAGCGGCGTCGAGCCGTCGCAGTTGCGCGCGCTCGGGTCGGCGCCGCGCTCGAGCAGCGCCAGCGCCACCTCGCCGCGCCCGGCGTCCGCCGCCCAGTGCAGCGCCGTGTGCCCCTCGCCGTCGGCGGCGTCCGGCGCCACGCCCTGCGAGAGGAGCGACTCGCACGCGGCGAGGTTGCCGGCTCGTGCAGCGGCATGCAGCGCGGCGCCGCTTCCCTCCGCCGCCGGGGCCTCCTCCTCCTCCTCCTGGTTCCCCGCGAGGCACGAGACCGCGCCAGGCCCTCCGATGGAGCCGACAGCGTCCGCGATAGCGTCCTGCGGATCGCCAAGCCCTGCAAGCCCGTCGTCGCTGTCGTCGCCGAGCCCGCCGAGCCCGTCGTCGACGCCGCTCAACGCGCGCGCCCTGGCCCTGGCCTTGGCCGCGTCCGCGGACGTCACGACTGCACTGACGGCAGCGACATACTGCTGCCTCGCACGTGCCGCCTCACAGCCCCGCAGCGCGTCCCAGGCGGTCCACTTGGCGCTGGCCGTGACGTGCAGCGACGACGGCGCATCCGAGGGCGCGTCGCCCTGCGTCGACTGCTTGTAAAGCGCGTAGAGCTGCAGCTGCGTCGCGACGGGAAGCCGCCGCTTCACCGACTGGAGCGTGGCCGCCGCCGCCTCAAAGTCCGAGGACGGAGGCTTCGCCCGCAGCGTGCGGTCAGGAGGCGCGGACGCCACCGCGGCGGCTAGCCACGGCAGCAGCCGCGCGAGCAGCGAATGCAGTCCGGCAGCGAGCTGCCGAAGCGGCAGCAGAGGGCTCATGCCGGCGGCCGTGTTTGTTGTGGAGGAAAGAATTTTACATGCAGGGGACTGGCGCGCACTGGCACTAACACAGGAAAGAACCCCTTTTTTTGGCGATGGTGTGAGGTTGACGCTTGTCCGTTTTCTTTCTTTTTCTTTTGAGGTTGAGGGGTTGTGTTTGATGTGACTGCACTTCAAGTGCTCCAAGTTCACCCACCTTGGACTAATTCTCCGCCTCGTGCGTCTTTCCTCTCCTCCTGCTCCTCCCCCACCGCCCCCGAACACAAATCTCTCTCTCTCTCTCTCTCCGCCCCCGCCGCCTCCAGGCGGAGCACGTTGCCAAAGCCCAGCTGTTCGATCTCGTCCTGCCGGTGCGTCACCAGCACGAGCGCAATGCTCGGGTCGGCGGCGAGCGTGCTGAGCATGCCGAGCAGGCGGTGGCGGTTGGCGGAGGAGAGGCCGTGCGTCGGCTCGTCGAGGAGGAGCAGCCGCGGCCGCTTCACCACCGCGCGGCAGAGGAGTACCAGCTTCTGCTGCCCAAACGAGAGCCGGAAGAAGTCGCGCCCCGCCGCCGCCGCCTGCGAGGGGCGGAGGAGCTCCGCCGCGCGCCTCGCTGCCGCGACGTACTCCGGCGGGTGCGACGCGTCGAGATAGGCGAGGTTGCCTCCTCCATGCGCCGGCGGCGGAGCCACGAGGTCGGCGAGCCCGAAGCAGTCGATCCAGCCCCGCGCCGCCTCGCGCTGCGAGAGTGAGAGCTCCTTGTAGGCGCCAACCGAGTCGAAGAATCCCGAGGCCACAACCTCCCAGGTGGTCACACAACCGCTGCTGCGCGCAAAGCCGTTGGCCCGCGCGAGCGCCACCACCTCCGGGTCCGCAAAGTCGCTGTAGCTCATGTGACTCGCCGTCGAGATGACACCGAGCTGCTCCTTGATGGACCAGACCGACTCGCCACTCCCCTTGCGCCGTCCGAAGAGGGAGATGTCCTGCGTGTACCCGAGCACGTTCTCACCGCTGATCAGGTCGACGAGCGTCGTCTTGCCCGTCCCGTTCCCGCCCACGACCGCCCAATTCTCACCTTCGCGAACCGTCCAGTTGAGCGGCGGCGCAAAGACGGTCGACGCCGCGTCGTACCGGATCGTCACGTCGCGAAACTCGACGAGTGCTGGCGCGGCGTTGCGCCCTGGCGGCGGCGGCTGCGGCCGCCCTGGTGGCGGCGGCGGCGGCGGGAGCGGCGGCGGCGGCGGCGGCGGCGGCAGCGGCGGCGGCGGCGGCAGCGGCAGCGGCGGCAGCGGCGCGTCGCTCGCATCAAGAAAGCGCTGCACGTCCGAGCGGAGGGCGTCCCAGGTCCCCGCTTGCCAGCCCGTGCCGTCGTCTCCCAGGCCGAGCAGCAGCGCGTGGGTGGGGCTGGGAGGAAGGTCGACTGTGCGGTGTGCGACCATGACGAGCGCGCAGTCGTGCTGCGTAGTTACGGTCTGGACCGCCTCCAGCGCGGCCCGCCGCGAGCGCGCATCCAGCCCGTCGAGCGCCTCGTCGAGGAGGAGCAGCTTCGGCGGCGCGAGAAGGCACGACGCGAGCAACGCCTTGCGCAGCTGGCCGGTGGAGAGTACGTGCAGCGGCCGGTGGCGCGCCTCGAGCAGGCTGAACGAGCGGAGCAGCGACCCCGCTGCGCCCCCGCACGTCGCGCCCTCGAGGGCAGCGAGCAGCGGCTCGTCCCGAGGAGAAGCGTCGTGCCGGACCGGCAGCGGCGAGAGGCGCGAGCGGGGTGGGCGGTAGCCCTTGTAGCCGGATCGGGTGCGTGCCGCTCGAGTGCCACCCTCAGGGTCCTCCGGGACGAGGTGCGGGAAGAGGAACGAGGCAGGGGTCGCCCGCTTGTGCACGTTCTGCTCGTACCGGCTCTCGCGAAAGGCCCGCTGCTCGTCGCGAAGAAGCCGGCGATGGCTGTCGAAGGACACGTGCACGGCGAGCGCGGCAGCGGCGCTAGCATCTGCGCCGCCGATCACTCGTCGGGCAAAGAGCGACGACGTGACCGTCTTGCCGGCTCCGTTGGCACCCACCACCGCCCACCGTTCGTTGGCGTGGATTCGGAGGCTGAGTGCAGCCACGAGCGTGCGTGGCGGTGAGCCGACCGTGACGTTGAGGTGCTGAAGCGAGATCACCGAACGGCTGGCCATCGCAGATTTCAGTCTTGCACACAGGCCGATAGAAGCCAGTGCTAGCCAGCGACGGTCGAGTGAGAGTCACAAGCTCTCCGAGCATATCTGATATCTGAATGGTTGCCCAGGTTGTGGAGGACACATCCCGGCGTGAACACGACTAACTGACGGATCCGCTCCTGACAGTCGCACGCGCCGCGCTGCGGCGCGTGCGACTGTCTTTGTTTGAAGTAAAAAGTCGAATCAGAGCGGCGTCGGCGTTGTCCTCCATGTTCCTCCCCTGGGCCCCCGTCCGGCACCGCTCCGGGACGCACGCCGGCGAAGCACCATCAAGCTGCTGTACGGCCCCGGTATCGCCTCCCCTGGCTTAGCTAGAGTGAGAGATATTGTGCACATGGTCAGTCTCTACAATATACTCACTGACTGGGTTTGGTTGCGAGACCCACCGCCGTTCTCAAGCTGCGCCGCCTCGCGCGCAAAGTCGCGCGCGGCAGCGTTGACCGCACGGCCTACTCGCCCTGTACTCGCTCTCTTTTTTATGTCCCACCATGCAGAGCGCATCTCTCTCTCTGTTGTGCGAGGCGTGAACCGCGCCATTCGCTCTCACCTGGCAACCCTGTCTGCACGTCTCGCGCGCGCGTGAACAGGGCTGCGGGACCGGGGGGGTGTGATGAAGTGAATGAAATCAAGCTCTGGACGCCCCTCCTCAAGACCTCTTCGCCGGGCGTTGGCAACGCCTCGAGTGGCGGCACGCCCGCCTCCGTTGGCCACTCCTACGCCTTCGGCAACACCGAAGAGAAGGCCCGCCGCCTAAACATGGGCTGCAAGGCGCGCGGGCAGCCCGGCCAACCCTTCTCCCACAAGACCGGCCACGGCTACGTCAAGGCGCATCGCGGTTTCTACCACGACGCGATCTTTGTCAAGCGCAACAACTTCAACCTGCTGCTCGCCTGCTCCACGAGACGTTCGGCGGCGGCTTCCCGCCCACCGCCGTTCTCAAACTGCGCCGCCTCGCGCGCAAGGTCGCGCGCGGCACCGGCAGCGTCGACCGCACGGCCTACTCGCCCAAGTACTCGTTCTCTTTTATGTCCCACCATGCAGAGCGCATCTCTCTCTCTGTTGTGCGAGGCGTGAACCGCGCCATTCGCTCTCACCTGGCAACCCTGTCTGCACGTCTCGCGCGCGCGTGAACAGGGCTGCGGGACCGGGGGGGTGTGATGAAGTGAATGAAATCAAGCTCTGGACGCCCCTCCTCAAGACCTCTTCGCCGGGCGTTGGCAACGCCTCGAGTGGCGGCACGCCCGCCTCCGTTGGCCACTCCTACGCCTTCGGCAACACCGAAGAGAAGGCCCGCCGCCTAAACATGGGCTGCAAGGCGCGCGGGCAGCCCGGCCAACCCTTCTCCCACAAGACCGGCCACGGCTACGTCAAGGCGCATCGCGGTTTCTACCACGACGCGATCTTTGTCAAGCGCAACAACTTCAACCTGCTGCTCCACGAGACGTTCGGCGGCGGCTTCTCGCCCACCGCCGTTCTCAAGCTGCGCCGCCTCGCGCGCAAAGTCGCGCGCGGCAGCGTTGACCGCACGGCCTACTCGCCCAAGTACTCGCTCTCTTTTATGTCCCACCATGCAGAGCGCATCTCTCTCACTGTTGTGCGAGGCGTGAACCGCGCCATTCGCTCAGCCAGCATCCGCAGGGAGGCAGCATATGAGGCACCAGTCTTCTGGAGAGCTCAACAGCTGCGGCCGCGATGGTAGAGTCGGCCGCGGTTCGAGCGAGCAGCTTTTGGCTGCGGGATCGAATCGCGGAAGGCTCATGCCCTCGCGGAGCGACGCGGGTCGCGCGGCGCCGCGCGCGTGTGCGAAATGCGACAACAGACGAGAGGCGCCTGAGCGCTGTACGAGGGAGTACGACTGAACGACCGTCGCCGCAATCGCCACCGCCGCCATTTTGACGAGCAGCGCGAGCGCGCTCGTCGGCGGCCAGCCGTCGCGGGCCGGGCCGAGCCCGGCCTCAACCGGCCGCGCCGCCGCAGCAGGCAGGCCGGGAGGCCCGAATGGCGGCCTCTTGTGTTTCGAACACGTGGAGGAACTGCTTGGTGGGCGGCGCAATGCCACCCAAAGTTTCCACGAGCACCAGCCGCGTTATGGCTTTCTTGACCCACTTCGCGTCGTGTAGTGCGCCCCCATCCTTGAAAATCACTCGGCGAGCACAGATTACTCGGAATCGAACAAATTTTATGATTGTAAATAAATAAATAAATAAAACGGACACCTCTACTAGGAGATGGGTAAAAAGGAACAGGTCCCCTTTAGGATTGTAGATTAATCGGATCGAACAAATTTTCCTCGCAGATTACTCGGCTCGTTTTCCTTCCCCATTTCAGTCCCGTGCCCAGTGTGTGTGTGTGTGTGTGTGTGTGTGTGCCGTGAGAGGTTTCTTCTAAAATTCTTTGATGTGCTGGCCTTTCGTTAAAAAAAATCTCAGCTCGGATCCGCCCGCCGATCTTGATACTTGAAGACACATCACACGAAACCCTCCCTCGAACGAGCAGCACACACAGAGCGTGATCTACGCGTCGGCCGCCTCCCGCTCCACCCGCCGCGACGGGCGGATGCGCAAGCCGTCTCCCGCAACCATAGGTCTCCTCGGACCATAGGTCTCCTCGGACCATAGGTCTCCTCGGACCGCGGTGAAACCGCACTAAAGAGCAGGCTCGGGAGCACACGACATCCGCGAGCATCACCAGCTGGACGAGCATCAAAGAGAAGGTTCTCGACCTCAACGACCCGACCGCCTTCCCTGCGTTTGGCAAGAGCGGCGGCGTGGGAGAGGTCGGCGGGAATGAGCGGGCCCGAGTAAACTGCGACGGAAAAAATGTAAATTCCCGAATCTGTTTTCGTTCAGTTTACTCGGGCTGGCCCAGAGTACATGTAAACTGGTGTGTCTCGCCTTGCGGGGGGCGACGGAAAAAATGTCGACAAAATGTGGTCCCGAATCTGTTTTCGTTCAGTTTACTCGGGCTGGCCCCGAGTAAACTGCGACGGAGAAAATGTCGAAATCTGGTCCCGCGTAATCTGTTTTTTCAGTTTACTCGGAGATCCGAGTTAATGTGATATTTTTTCAAGAAAATTCTCGACGGCCGTCCTACGCCCGCTCTAGGCCGCGCTCGCCCCCTTCTCCTCCATCCCCTTCTCTCGAATCCTCATGTCACAACCACCGCCACTGCCGCCGCCGCCACCGCCTCCACCGCCAAGACCGCCACCGCCACCACCGCCACCGCCACCGCCGCCCGCGCCAGACGGCTCCCGGCCTCGCAAGAAGTGGGCTGTCGTGGAGGCGCCGACCGGAGGGCAGAGCACGGCCTTTGTCTACGAAGATTGGGCCGACCTTGGCCGTTCTGACATCGCGGCACCGCTGCCGTGGGCGCTGGCGTCTCGATGCGTACACATCGCGGGCGGCATCGGATCAAACGGCGGCGTGCTCGCTGTCCAGCTGGGAGAGGGCGACGCGGCATCCGCCGTCTGCGTCAAGCAGTTTGACGCCAAGAAGGTGAGGCCGGACATGGAGATGCTCGCCGCTCACCTCTTGCGCGCGGCGCGGGTCCGCGCGCCGTTGGCGCGGTACGCCACGCAGGCCGAGATCGACGACGAGATTGCGCCGGCCGTCGGAAAAGCCTACTTCGAGGGCGGCGGGTCGTGGGCGTGTCCGCGGCTCTGCATGCAGGCCATGTTCGAGCAGCCTGCCATTGTCGCCAAGCTGGGCCTCCCAGACAAGCTGGTGGACGAGTGGCGCGACAAGTGGCAGGCCGAGCGCGCGCAAAAGCGCGTCGCGATCGAGGCGGGCGAGGAGCGCGCGGAGGCGATCGCTGTGATTGAGTTTGTGCGAGGGCCGACCCTGCTGCAGGGCGGAGGGGGGGCGCTCGGCGAGGCGGAGTACGAGGCGCTGGGGCGGCTGGCCGCATTCGACGTGCTGCTCAACAACTTTGACCGCCTGCCGGTGCTGTTTGACAATGAGGGCAACCTCGCCAACGTCATGCTCGAGCGGCGGGAGGGCGGCGGCGTCACCTGCTGCGCGATCGACTCGTGCGTCAACCCGCTGCGAGGCGCGGCGCGGGAAAAGTACCTCCGGTGGGCGCAGGTGCACCTCCCCTACACACGCAGACGGCCGCTTCCACGCTCGCCGCTCGTGAACAGGCGGCTGCGCTCCGAGGCACCGGAGCCGGACCTGGCGCAGGCGGCAGCGGCCCTCGCCGCCGCGGCGGGAGGTGTACCGCCCCCCTCCCGTCGCCCCGCGAGCGTCGCCCGAGAGCGCACGGCTCCCTGTTCAGCACCCCAGCACCCCGCGCCGGACAGGGCCAGAGCCGGACACCGCGGCGCTCCGGCGCGGCTGGGCGGGCGGGCTCGCCGACATAGCCGACATGGCGCGCGGCGGCGCGCTGGCGGCCGCGCTCGAGTCGTTTGGGGCGGAGGCCGCGCTGGCCGGTGCGGACCGCGACGAGCTCGACGCGGCGGCGGGGTTCGTCACGGAGGCGGCCGCGGCGATCGCAGGCGTCGTCGCCGGGGCGGGGAGTGCTGCAGCCGGAGAGGAGGGCAGGCGCCATGTGTGACCTCCGTGACGTGTGTCCACGAGGCGACGCGCGGGTGGGGTGAGCGTGTGAGTAGTCGGCTGCTGTGACTTGCATGATGCCGGTTGGCGTGTTGACTTGGAACGGCACGCCGGCCGGCACGGTTCGACCTCCATCTGTTGCCATGTGTTTTTGCTGCGTTCACGGTTCAGCACCAGAGCGCCAGCTGCCTGCCAATTTTACGTGCTCTTTCGAGTGGCCCAGCAGCTCGCGACAGTTAGCCACCAAAATAATTAAAAAGAGAAAATATCACGACAGGCACAGGGTCCCCCCACCTGCTTCGAGAGTAAAATAAAAGGCTCCGCATGAGTCCAACGTAGTTTCTTTTTGGTCCTCTACGTTGTAAAATTCCTTTAGCATAGGAGACCTTTCGTCATGCACATGCTTCATGCTTTCTATCCATCTATCATGACGTCATGCACATGCTTCATGCTTTCTATCTACCTATCATGACGCAGCTGCAATGGCGCGGCCCCCAAGTGCGGTCACGCGCCGGCGGGCCGCTTTCGCTTGCGGCCCTTGGCCTCGGCGGCCCGCCGCGATGCGACGCGCTCCGCGGCGTAGGCGGCCGCGAGCTCCGGCTCCCACATCTCCGTGATCTGGTTGTAGCCGTGCTCCCAGATGCCCAGCACCTCCGACGGCCGTAGCTGGCGCAGGTGGTCCACGTCGTCGGGGTTAAGGCCGATCACGAAGAGGCGAGCACCAAGGCGAACTCGCGAGACGAGCACGTGCAAGTCGACCAGCTTGAGCTTCGGGTAGACGCCGGCGCCGCGCTTGCCGAGGCTCACGATGAAGTAATCGAGCGTCTTGCCTTGCACCTGCACGGAGGGTTGGCTTGGTTGGTTGCTAATGTGGGCGGCGCGACGGCTTGGGCTTCCACCTTGTAGTCTGTCACGGCGAACGCCAGATCGATCTGGTGCTTGTTGATGCGCAGCTCCTTGGGCACGCCCACCCGCGCCGCCCACGAGCTCGTCGGCGCGTACGTTGCCGACGCCTTGCCAACCAGCACTGGCACGACGAGCTCCTCATCGAAGAGGGACGCGCCACGCGCCAGCAGCGTCTGTCGCGCCTCGTCGGACACGTCGGGGATCGCGTTGACGGAGAGCGGCGGCTCGATCTGCACCTCCCAGATGCCGTACTGGTCGTTCCACACCGTGTTGGCGAGGCAGTTGTCGAGTGTGGTGTCTCCAGCGAGCGTGAGCGAGTGCAACTCGGCGTCGCAGCCGTTGACGAGACCGCGCCCCGTCTCGATGTTGGAGGTGATGCTCGCGGGCGCGCCCTCTACAAAGTGGAAGCATAGGCCGGCGCGCTCCTCGAGGTAGGCCCGCTCGGTCTCCGTCTCGGTGAGGTAGCTGGCGGCGACGCCCACGAGCGGCTGCTTCCACCAGAAGAGCGGCCGGCGATGGTGACGCGCAAAGAGGCGAGCCTGGAGCAGGTTGAAGGCGTGGCGCTCGCGCTGCGACAGCACGCCAATCTTGGCGAAGCGCAGCGCCGTCCGCGCTCGCTCGGCCACAGCCTCGAGCTCAGCCGGAGATGGCGCCGGCTGATGCTGCATGAGCGGGTGCCGCGCCGACGCCGCAGCGGCGGCACGCTCGCCTTCGCGCTGGATCGCGTCGGCGGTGAGCTGCTGCGAGATCAGCAAGTCGATGAAGTCCTCCGTCACGGGCTGCGGGCAGGTGGTATCGCGCTGGCACTCCAGATTCTTGGCGAGGCGCTTGTCATCGGCGGCGCTGCCGTGGCCGTGCTGCACCCTCTTGCCGCTCACCTCAAACACGTGGGTGCCAGACGGCGACGGCGCGGGCTGCGGAGGGCGATGAGCCGAGGGGCGCGGCCCCGGCTGGCGGGGCTGGGGCCTGTCCGGAGGTGGGTGGTGCGGCGGGCACGCTGGGCGGCTCGCGCATGTGCTTGGCGTAGGCGACTGCGGCATCCACCGCGGTTTTGAACACGCCCAAGCTCACCTTCTGGCCTTGGCGAGTGACGCGCGCCATGAACCTCCCGCCTGACACGCCGCACACGCCCATGTACCCAGTGGCTGACCTCGCGGAGTGGATCAGCTGCACGCCACCAGCTTGCGAAACAATGGCGGCCGAGAAGGGAGTGGGTGCGGCAGGGCTGGCGACGGGCGGCGAAGTGGCAGGGAAAGCAACGGCCAAGACCGGGCAAGCGGCAGCGGAAGAGACGGATGCAGCGGCGGCGTGGTCGGCTGGTGCGTCGGGCCTGGCGACGGGCGGCGAAGCGGGGGTTTTGCAACTGGAGCCCGGCGGGTCGTGAACGTCAGCATGCGAAATGATACCATCACAATCGCTTCGTCGTAGCCGAGGAGAACGCCGAGCAGCCGGCTGGACGAATGCAACGGCGGCGTGGTGGGCGGGAGCGGCGGTGGAGCAGGGGGCGACGGCGAGGTTGCATCCGGAGCCCGGCGGGTCGATCTGCATCGGCTGCACGTCGGCCACGTCGGCTTCTGCCAGCTCTGGCTGCTGGGCGGCGGTCGGCGTGGAGAATGGCAGGACTGTTTGGGGCGCATTTGAGAGCGCTGGCCCCGACGCGCCGTCGGTTTGGTCGGGGTGGTTTCTCACCCCTGGTGTTTCTTCATTCCGTCGGGGAGGCTCTGTGCAGGGCGAAGCGAGGGCCGTGGGGAAGGGGCCAGTGGGGCGATGGGCACAGAGGGGGCAATGATCCGATGTGTGGGCAGGTGTCTAGGTCTGGCTGTGTGGACAGCCAGCAGCGAGAGAAGGATGTGCTTAGTACCTGTGCACGAAGGACAGAGGCGGGTCGGAAGGTCGAGACTGCTGACCGCTCCTCCATTGTCCCCCGCCGGTGGACGCCGAGTGCAGTCATCGGTATGCGGGAGGCGTGCTCAAGTGCTGGCGGGGCGGACGCGACGACCTGGCGTTGCCGTCGCGGAGGGCTCGGGCTCGAGTGAGCGCCGCCGGCGACGCGTCGTTGCGGCCGTGGCCGCGCGAGCCACTTGCATCGACGGGCTGCTTAGGGGGGCGCCAATGAGGCTTGCCCGTCGGCAATCCATCCGTATTGAGCTCTGCTGGCATTTGTGGTGGGGCAGACCGCTCTCCTCGGCCAAGAGTAGACGTGCGCGAGAATTAATCTTGGGAGTGAGTTACACTACAGAAATAAATTTCTACGTTGAACGATAAAAAGAAAAACGGCCACCCAGGGCTGGGTCGAGGACAGACCTGCTTCGGACCCAGAGTCTTCTTTCTTTTTGGCACGCCGGCGGAAGGGCTCGTCTTCGCGGGGCGGGGTGCGCACTGCGCGCCGCGAGGATGAGGAGCCTGAGCCAGGGGAGGGTTGGGAAGGGGGGGCGAGGCCGGAGGAGTATGACGGCCTCTTCGACGGCCCATAAGGGGCCGTTGTCTGCTGTGTCTTTTGTGGTGCTAGTCCGTGCCAGTCTAAAGAAAGAAAGAAAACATACAGCCCAAGGGAGGGATGGGAGGACGGCACGCCGCCACCACACAGCTCACAGGGATTTTAAGGAGAGGAGTGTGGTGCTAGTCTGCTGTGAGATGGCCAAAGAAAGAAAGAGACAACCTAGACAACCCGATCTTTGAGCGCTCAAGCTCACCGGTCGGGATGGCGAAGCCAGCGAAGAAAGCGCCGCCGAAGAAGGCGGCGGCTGCAACGGACAGCGGCGTGGAGAAGAAGAAGCGCGGCCGCCCGTTGGGCAGCAAGAATTCCAAGCCCGCCCAGAAGAAGCCGGGGGCCAAACCCAGGGGCAGGCCTCCGAAGGGGTGCACGTGGAGCGATGAGAAGCAAGCGTACATCGACGACTCGACGGGAGAGGAGAAGAAGAAGTGAAGCAGCGAACGGCAGCGCCTGTGCCGAGGACTTTGAATCGCTCCACAGCGCGATACACTCACACCGACGGTCAAGCATGGTACGTCGCCGCTAGCATGTCTCCTGGTGCGTGACACCGCTGGCTGGCGCGTGTGCGTGTCGTGCCGCAGGCATAGCACATAGCACGCACGATGCACGCGATGACACGCGCGTGTGCGCCTTCTACCTGTACTGAGTGTGGTTGTGTTCTGCGCGCGGCATGCTGCTTGCTGGGGAAGAGGCGGGGCGAATGCACGGGGTGCACACGTAAATTTTTCTATATTAAGAGTTGACTCACACGCTAGGAACCACTCGGCCCACCCACAGGCCCAATCTCAAGTGGCGGCGCTCCACGCCTGTGCAGCGGCGCGCTCCGCGCGTGTTCTGCACTACTGCAGCGGCGCGCTCGCGCCGCGCGCGGTGTCTCCTCGTGTCCTCGAGGGTGTCTCTGGGCGCTACATGCGGCCGTCGCCGTGCCCTTCATCAACCGTGCGCTCGAGAACTGGGGCGGGCTCAACTGGGAAGACCGCTTTCACCACAACGACAGGTCACATGCACAGAGGGGCGGCATTGGAGCTTCGCTGCAGCGGGGTGTGGTCATGACGCGGAAGTAAGGCAGAGACACAGCGTCTGCCAGACGCGTGCTACGACGTCAGGCCAGCTTCGAAGCAGCGTGGCCACAACTGACTGCAACAGACTGTCTTCATGTGTCTAGACTCTACCGGTACCGCGGTGCGCGCTCCGCGCACATAGGTGCCAGCGCGCTCCGCGCGGTATCTAGCAAGCGTGCTCCGCGCGTGTGTCTAGCTAGCGCGCTCCGCGCGTGTGTCCAGCTAGCGCGCTCCGCGCGTGTGTCCGGGTAGCACCAGCGCGCTCCGCGCGCACGATAATCCAGTGCCTACACTTGTGGGCACTGAAAGCTTGTTTCTGCAGCTCTGGCTGGCTCTGCGCCTCTCCGCGCGGGGTCTCTCTCTCTCTCTCTGTCTGGACTAGTGTCTAGTCTCTAGAGACTCCGCGCGGGCCGGGCCGGGTCTCATTGCCGGTGGTGGAGCAGAGAGAGAGATTTTTTTCTTGGAGCAGTGATGAAGGATCCTGACCAGCGAACTTCAGCCGTTCAGATTTCGTGCGCGAAGCCGTAGCGAGTCTTTCGCCGCCGGGATCATCCGGGAGCCGGTCTCTCGCCACTCCGCTGGCGCTGCCGGGCGCCCCACGGCCTGTGTGTCGTCGGTGGTTTTGTGTTTTCTCTAATCGCGCAACACTGCCATGATGATCCTCCTCCCGACTGCGACTGCGGCTTCGTCGACGCTGCGACGGCAACCGCTGATGACGGCGCGAGTGCCTGGCGGCGACCTGCGTGAGTCTGCCAGTCGGGTCGGCTGCTCAGCGGCGGCCGCAGCCGCCACCTGGTCCCTGTCCACCTCGTGCGGGCTGGACTCGGTGAGCGCCTCATCCCTCGTCGGCCTCGGAGCGGGCGCTGCGCTACCAGCGCCACTCGCGACCGCCGCCTTCTGCGGCACCTTTGCTGGCATGAGCTCGCGCGTCGTCGCTCCATCGGCACTTGCCGCGGCGGCGCTCGGCGGCGCTGCAGCCGCGGTGCTAGTGGCACTCGACGCCTCCGACACGCGGGTCCTCAAGGGCTACGGCGGCCGCCTCGGCGCCGTCGCTGCCCTGGCGGGCCTGGCGAGCATAGCGGCGTCGGCAGAGCTCCGCGCGGCCGGCCTCCTCTACCAGCCGTCTCTGGCCGCTGCCGCCGCTGCGCCCGAGAGGCTGTGGCGGACCGTCGGTGCGACTGTGCTCGGCTCGGCCGCGACTCGGCTCTGGGCACGCCGGCTGGCGCTCCTCCTCCTCGTCGGCGATTGCCCCGTGATCGCGTCGTCTGGAGAGGCGACGGGCACCGAATCAGTCGATGGCGTGCTCCTCGAGTAGGCGCCGGCCCTGTGCTCGCGTCGCCGCGGTCGGGATCGAGCGCCGCGACGTGGCGACATGCCCTCGCCTCTCGCCTCTCGACACCCGTCGCTTCCGCCTCCGTGGTTGGTCTCGGCGCGGCCGCCCTGTTCGGCGCAGACGCGGTGGGAAGCGGTGTGAAGTCTTCGCTCGACACTGACCCGTCCGGCGACATGCGTGACACGACCCGTCACATAGGCCCTCGCCTCGTCGGCTTTTGCGGGCACCGCGCGCCGCGCAGAGCGACCCGACCCGCCCGTTCCCCTCGCCACCCCCCCCCCCCCGCCGCCGCCCCCGCTGCGCAGGCTCTTTCGTCGCCATGTCCGCGCCGGGCAAGCTCCAGTCGACTCGCTCGCTGCTCGGGGCCGCCGCGCTGGCGGGCTTGGCGCAGGTGGCGCTGTCGGCTGTCTGTGTCGGCGCCGGCGGCAAGCTCGGTGCTGCAGCGGCGGTCGGCGTCCTCCTGCTCCGCTCGCTTCGAGCGGCGGCGGCGGTTGTGCTGTTTTCGCGTGCATCGCGCGCAGGTGGTGGTGGCTCGTGAGAACTGAGGCGCGGTATAAGCGAACTACGGCATACGAGTGGGACGACTCTCACTCACGCATCTGTGAGATTTGCCGCGCCCGGGCCCCGGCCCGCTTTCGCACGGCGTAACGCGGCGTATCGTCTATCGACACGCCGACGAAAATCTCAACAGAATCTACGTGGATTGTGTCGAGTCGCTACCGGTACCTAGCATGCACACACACGGACACCGCAGTCGGCAGTGCATTCAGCATTGTGAGCGCCCGGGCTCAGAGCACGGGCTTATCTTGCAGGTGCTTTGCGTAATCCAGGGCCCGCGTCGCAGGGTGCGCCTGGCGCTGGCCCTCCCAGCCGTCGAGCACCTCCTGCTGCGGTCGCGTGAAACAACGTCTGCGCTCCGCTGCCAGTTTGACGAGCGTGTTGACCTCGGGGCGTGCCCACAGGTTCGGCCCCGCGAACCTCGAGACGGCAACGTCGAGGCACTCGAGGAGGGCGTCGCACCACGCGCCGCGCGTCCGCTCCGGCAGGTAGTCGGTCCGAGCGCCCGAGAGGAGGTGCGAGTAGCCTGGCTGCGCAGTCGAGCGAGGCTCGTTCTCAGGGTCGTCGCACGGGAGGCGACGGAGCAGCGTCGCAACCTCGAGGAAGCCTCCTTCTGGAGCTGAGGAGAGGAGGTCAATCTGCGTCACCACGCGCAGCCTCCACACCTTGATCTGCTGCTGCTGCGGCAGCGAGAAGAGGACTGGCCTGGACGCCGCCGCGCTGAACAGCTTGCGGAAGGCTCCCCGATTCGACGGCTTGCGCCAGCGCGCCGGGTCCTCGATGGCAGCAGAGAGCACCCCAAACAAGGCGCCGGCGTTGAACGGCTTGACCAGTCCCTCCTCGAAGAGCGAAGCGACCTTCTCCGCGACCCTCTCCGCCTTGGCCGCCGACCGAATGGCCGCCGCAAGTTTGGGCGCAGCGGCGATGATCTCGTCGCTCGGCGCCGCAGGAGGCGTAGGCGCTGCAGGCGCTGCCTCGCGAGGGCGCTTTGGCGGATCCGCGTCAGAGCTCTCGCGAGGGCGCTTTGGCGGATCCGCGTCAGAGCTCTCGCGAGGGCGCTTGGGCGTCTCGCGCGTCTCCGCGCTTGTCGTAGCTCTCGAAGCCATCGAGCGCGGGTTCGGACTTTTACGGGGTGTGGTATGGTACGCCCCCCGCCTGCTGACAGACCCAGCCTCCCGGAGACCGGGGATGGGCGGTCAGAACCATGCCCCCCCACCCTTTGGGCCGCGAGACTACCATACCATACCCCGCAAAAAGTTGCTAGTTGGAACCCAGGCCAACCACACCGCACCCACTCGAGATCAGCTCGCCCTGCTTCCTGGTACCTGCTGACAGACCAGGCTTCCAGCCGACAGGACCATACCCCCCGCCCCACCGCCGGCCGCCTTACTGCTAAAGTCGTAGGTAGGCGATAGGTCCTAGGAGAAGGAGGCTGCAGACACCGACACGCACACACAGATACGCGCGGATGGCCGCCGTCTTCCATCCACGCCAGCACCTGCTGGTGCTATCTAGATAGTCTAGAGCGCGGCAGCGAAGTTGGCAATCGCCTGGCGAGCGGCGGGCCCGGCACCCGCGTAGTCTGGACGATTTCTTTGCGGTATCTTGACGTGTATCTCTCCATCCATTTCTGGAACGTATCCCGCCATATCCCGCCATATCCCGCCGTATCCCGCCGTATCCCGCCGTCCGTCCGTATCCCGCCGTATCCTGCCCGCCTCCTCACCATGCTCCTCACGCCGAGCAGGGAGCAGCCCCCGGCCTCTCGCGCTCCGGCCCCGGCCTGGCCCCGGCCTGCCTGGGGGCTGCGTATCTCACTCATCATCCACGTGTATCTCCTGGTACCTCCCCGTACACGCTCCCGGTATCCCGCCATTGCATATCCCGCCATATCCCGCCGCGGATACCGCGAAAGAAATCGTCCAGGCCACAGGGATCGGTCGCCGCACCCGCACCAGCAGGCGCCGCGCCGGCCGTCCGTCCCCGCGCGGGCGGCTCCGGTGGCCGCCGCGCCGGCCGCCCCGTGGGCCACCGCACCGGCGAGGTCCTCCATCGGCATCGCCGTCCGGCGGGTGCCCCTCCGGCGGGTGTGTGGGTGACCCCGCTCCGGTGCTCGCCTCGCTCGCCGGTGGTCGCCTCGATCGAGCCCGGCCGGGTTGGCCGGTTGCGCCAGCGGTGCAATCTCGGGCCTCGGGGGACTTGTAGTACATCCCGAACTCTTGGCGACAAACAGCAGAGATGATGGAGAGGGGGGACGACACCGCTCGATCTACCCTCTGGGGTCCTCAGCGGCGTGCACCTCGATCCTGGACCGTGTAGCGTGTTTGTTATGAACCCCCCCCGTCGCCCGTCCATGAATGAGCACACACACCAGCGAGGGAGGGCGAGACGATCGAGGGGTCCCGTACCATGCGGAATCGACCCTATCCAGTGCTCAGGTGCTCAAGACATTAATTGATGCTTTTTGAATTTTGACAATTAACTGATGGGCTTGCCCATCCCGGAGTGTCGGCGGGGCGGTGGCACACGTCACCTGCGCCGTTCGGGAGGACAATGCCCATGCCGAGTGGGGTAACAAGGCCTTCGCCACCTGCCCTCTTTCGAAGGTAGTGTCTATAGAGTGACGAGAGATATTGTCGGATGTCGGCATGTCGCACGCCCGATGCGCAACTGATGCGCAACACCCGCCCTGGTACGGCTCTCTATATTTTATAGAGTAAACTCTTACGCGGCTTGCATCCGCCAAAAACATGCACATCCGATCGCGCGCGCCCTGTGTTGGGCTAAAAAAAGACGAGTTTTACTGAGATGGCACACATCCAGTTGCAGCACTGCGACAATATCTGAGCGAGAGCTTGTGTTGATGTCATGGCTCATGCGCATTAGCGATATATGGCTCGTCGCTCGAGTGTCAAAGTGTCATGCTCATGCGTCGGATGGGCCTTGCCGTGTTTTTTGCCCCAACCCCCATGAGCCTCGAGAGTCGACCGGGGGCTCGAGGCAAGAGCCAAGAGCCCGCGCAACGCCGCAACCATCGCGGCTTCTGTTGTGTGTTAAAGTACCATATGGGGGTTTTGGCACATGCGGCCTAAAACAGGATTGGGGGCCCCCCTGGATGGCGCACGGAGCACGCGCCCTTGCAGCCCTTGGCCGCTCTGCTGCCGCAGCCAGCGGCGGCCGCCTCGCGCGCCTTCTTGAGCGCGATGATCGCCTTGGGCGCCAAGTGCAGCCGCTGGACGAGCACGTCCACCTGGAAAGGGGTGTGGAGGCGCCGCTCACAGCCCGCCACCCGGCAAAGAGCCCAGCACTCTCGAGCTGGGCTCCTAGTCAGATCGCGCGAGTAGACGCAAGCGACGACCCAAGACGAACGAATACTTGTCGTCCGCAACCTCTGGCTCGCGGCCGTCCAGCAGCGCCGCGTACTTGTTGGCGAACGCGGTGCGATCCGGCCAGCCGCTGCGGGGAGGGGCGCAGACGCCCTCCCTCATGAGCACGTGCAGCTCGTTGGAGACCACCCTGGCGCCTGCGCGTCACAGAGAGGCGCCGCTCACAGACGCCCGGCTCGAGACAGCGGGACGGGGCGGACGAGACGCCTCTCGCAGGTGCAGGGCGGGGCCAATCTCGGGCCAGTCTCGGGCCAGTCTCGGGCCAGTCTCGGGGCGATCGGGTGATGGCGGGTGATCTCGCGCCTCGCATGCCGCCGACCAGGTTCCCGCCTCCCGGACCGAGCTCGAGCCCCGCGTTGGCGCCGAGCACAAAGACGTCCTAATCTCGGCACAATCTCGGCTGACCTCGGGGGATCTCGAGCCCCGCGGTCGGGCGCAGAGCACGACGGCGCCTCCCCGCGCGACCAGCGCAGCGAGGAGTCGACGCGCGGGAGGCCGCCGACGGTCGGGGCGCCGAGCAGTTCCTACGATCTCGGTGCGATCTCGGTGCGATCTCGGGTGATCTCGGGCTCGTCGGGCGGTCTGGCTAGAGCGGCTCCTCGACGGAGCGAAACAGGGCGGACGACGTGAGCGGCTCTGCGGCGCGGCGCGGGGGGGGGGGGGGGAGGTGAGAGGGCAAGGCGAGGTGAGGGCAAGGCGAGGCGGGTCTGCTCGCCACACTTGGTGGGGCTCAAGGGGGGAGGGGAGAGGCCGTCCGGGTGCAAGGGTCGGTGCTCGTGGGTGAGTGAGCAACCTGGCGCGACTCCGGTGCAGAGGACGACAAGGTCGAAGTCCTCCCCGTTGACCTGGACGCTGTCTGCGGTGGAGGTGCAGACGCTGCGGTCCACCGCCTCGTCCACCTGCGCGAGGGCGGGCAAGGAGAGGGCGGGCAAGGAGAGGCCGGGCAAGGCTAGGAGACTGCTGCGAGACGCGCGCACCGCTGGCGGTCCACCCGCTCACCCGGCCCGGTGCGACTCTCCGGCTCTTGGGAGCCTTCTACGAGTCTGCTAGCCACCTTCTACGAGCCTTCTCTGAACCTTCTCTCTGCTAGGCGCCCTCTACCGAGCCTCCTCCGAGCCTTCTAGGCCGTCACCTCGATGCGGAGAGAGCTCCCCGGCGAGGCAGCGAGCCGCTGCAGCTCCTCGAGATACGGCGCCTGTGGGGAGGAGGCTGCTTGAAGGCTCCCAGAGGGGCCCCAGGGGCCCTGTGCTGCATCCTCGAGATGCGGCGCCGGCACGCTGCCGCCGGCGGTGGCGTCGCGGATCGCCTGCAGCCGCCTGCTCGGGTGTCCGCCCGTCTGTGAGACACACGCCCTGGGCACGGACACACGTCCTGGGCATGGACGGGCACACACGCACTCGCTGACCACTACGGGGGTGGTACACACACACACACACACACACACACACACACACACACACACACACACACACACACACACACACACACACACGCGCGCGCGCACGAGGCGGTGTGTGCGGTTCTCGGGCAAGGCATCCCCCGCAGAGGTACAACAGTTGGAGGGGCTTCGGCGGGGGACCTGGTCGGCGGCAGGCAGAGGTACTCGAAGCGCAGCCGGTCGGCATGCCTCACGTCGAGCCAGCCGACGGCAATGTCGAAGGGGCGGCTCTGCAGCGGCCGCCGGGACCGCAGCACCACCCGATGCCCCGCGCGGGAGGCGGTCAGCGCCGCCTGCGCAGAGGAGACGCCGAGAATGAGTAGGCGTGATGGCTAGGCGATTCGTACGTCCACTCTTTCAGCGCCGCCTGCGCCGCCGAGATGCCGCCGCCGATCACCAGCACGGAGGCTGGCCCGCCGTCGCCGCCGCTCCGCCTGGCGACCTCCTCCCGCAAGGTGCCTCTCCCCTGGGTCAGCAGCTGCTCCGAGTGGAGCACGCGCCCGCAGGCCGACGAGGCGGCGGAGAGCAGCGGCGCAAAAGGCGGAGGGATGCTCCACGCCCCGACGGGGCCGGTGGCGAGGATCAGCGCGGCCGCCTCGACCTCCCGAAGCTCGTGCGGCTCCCCGGCCGCGCTGTACTGCACGCGGAAGGAAGAGCCGCCGCCGCCGCCGCCGCCGCCCGCCCTGGCAACGCGGGTGGCGGTCCCGCGGAGCCACTTGTGCGGCAGTTCTGCCTCGAGCGAGGCGCAAAAGTCGCGGAAGAGGGCACTCGACGGCAGCGCCTTGAGCAGCGACGCGCCGCTCGAGTCCGCGTGCTCGGGACGGTGGTCTGTGGTCGGCATCCACTGCACCGCGACGGGCGCCGCTTCGAGCTCGGCGGTCCTGCCCTCCCGGATCGCAAACTCGACGAGCGCAGTCGGCTCAAAGGCCGAGGGGTGGACATACGCGGGCGAGCGCAGCCGGTCAATCTCGAGCGCGCGGAAGCGGCCGTACCACGCGTCGAGAAAGTGCGAGCCCGGGTCGATCACAGCGACGGTGCCTCGCACGGGACTCTTGCCATCGCCGCCGACCAGTGCAGCAAGAGCCGCCAAGGCATGAGGCCCGCCGCCGACAATGACCACGGAGACCGACTCGACGGGCTCGCTTGAGCCCGACGCAGCGCTCTTGCTCACCGTCTCAGGCGTCTGAATAAACTGCATTGACCTCGTTGCCTTTACGACTGTCCTCCGCGTGCTACGCCTCGCGCGAAAGCTTCACCTATCTTGCATTTTGTTTGCATTATGAAAAAAAGAATTCGCAGCCGCCAAGCCTCTCTCACAGCACACCGCGCTGCGAGCCTGTCGTGTCCCTTGTCAGGAGCAGGAGAGCCCCACCTGTCCCCCTGATCGTCCTTCCAAAATCCTGCTCGTGCAGGTGGGGACCCTGTCCTCCTCCCCCATCCCTCGTCTGGGTTTGTCTGTTTTCTTTCTTTCTTTCTTTTAGCACACTGGCGCGGACTGGCGCGGACTGGCGCGGACTGGCACACACACCGGCTCACCTGAAAAAAGAATTCTTAGACGGTCAAGAGCACCAAGAAGGACTGGGCGAGCGTCGCTCGCGGAGCCGCCCGCTCCCCCTACGACGGCGGCCCACGCCTCGAGTCCAACGAGCCCTCGTCCTACGAGGGGAGCGAGCGACGAGGATCCTAGGAGCGGCCGCCGAGCCCTTCCCGCAGCGCATCCCTAGCAGCGCAGCGGGCAGGGCGGCTCGCGCAGCGCGCGCGATCGAGCGCACGCGAGCGAGCACACACACACACGCACGCACGCACACGTCCCAACTCCCCAGAAATCTCGAGGAGCCGCGCACAGTGCCTAGGATAATGTCTGTGCGCTGTGTGGTGCACGCCCTCCGAGCGGGGCGGGGTCTGCCCGTCGGGTTGCTGCCCTAATCCCACCAGGGGTTGCAGAGGGGTTGTCTGCTCTATTTATTGAGAGAGAGAGAGAGAGAGAGAGAGAGAGAGAGAGAGAGAGAGAGAGAGAGAGAGAGAGAGAGAGAGAGACGTGGATGGACTCCGAAACAAGAATTGCCAACTTTGCGTGCTGCTTGCGCGTCCCACCCATACCGCCTGGTGTCCAGTCAGGCCAGACTGTTCCTCTCCAAGATCCCATCTTTGTTCTTCTATAGTCTGAGCCTTCCTGTCTTTCTTTCATTCACAGCCAACGCCTGCAAAAACCTGCCTAGGTGCCCCGTTTGCGGGGGAAACGATACGCCATCCCCGCCTGACCTGTCCCACATCAGGCCCTGGGCTCCGAGGATGGACATCTTAGGACTTGGCGCCAGCGCGGGGTCGGGGGCTCGGGGCACGGGGGACTGCCCTCGCGGGTTCGTTTTGCCCGCCTGACGAGGTGGACGTGTACAATGAAATATAGGTTGAGGGTTGGGTGCCACTCTCTACCACAGGCTGAAGAAGCATAAGCTACTTTGACGCAAGGTTTTGTTCAGGCGTGGAGCGTGAGGCCTGTGGGTTTCGTCCCGAGGCCGCCCCCACCGCGCGTGTGCGATGTTAGTCAAGTGTGACGTCGTGGAGTCTCGCCTCGGCCCTCAGCTGACATCGTACATTTGAGCTCTCTGTGAGAGCAGCACCTGTCCCTAGCGAGTCCGATGACCATTAGCACCACGATCCACCGCACACGCACGCAGGTGTGTCGACTGTGATCTCCATCGTGTCTTGTCACTGACAAGCGCGACATGGGCTCTCGACCACAGTCAGAGTCACCCCCCGATTCGCGTCGCGTCGCCGTCGGATCGGTCGCCTGCACCTCTCCGAGCTCTCCCGCCCGTCTCCCACGAGCTCCACACACAGGTCACAGGACTCTGAACTCCCGCCGGCGATGTCCCACTTCTCTCTTCTGTTGATTGTTCTTTCTCGCAAACTACGCACAGTTGCAACACACAGGACTCCCATGTCTCAAGCATCAAGCTGTCTCGGTCTTTAGTATTTACAGCCAGCACCGCACGTGGCCTCTGTGTGGCCTCTGTGTTCCTCGCTGCTGCGCGCTCTTCTAATATCTAAATAGCGTTTTATACGAGTACACCGATCTCAGATCTCACACCGTGTACGTACTCTCGGTACAATCTACAAAAGGCCGACGCGTGCGAGCGAGCCCGATGTTCATACTCACATGCAGTAGACAGTCCCCAGGCGTGGAGCCGTACCTCCCAAGCCGGTGATGTGTGGACAGCATTTAAGCTTCAGCCGCTGAGACCTGAGCGCGGAGTTGTGCTCCCGACGAGCACACGCGCGGGTGTCAGGACACCAGGCACCTCTCTTGCTCCTCCTCGGAGCAGAGATGATCCGTCACCCGCTTCTCCTCGGCCTTGGAAGGGATCCCCTGCATGCTGATCCCGAGCTTGCGGCGCAGTTTGCTCTCCGCCACGCCAAACGAGCGGTAATCCGAGCGCTGGAAGAAGGCGGCCTTCTTCTCAGTCGCGGTCAGATCCGAAGCCGAGGGGATGCGGGTGATTGAGAGGTCTCCGAAGCTGACGTTTTTGCGTAAGCGTGGCGGGGGTGAGCCGTCGTCGGAGGCTGTGGATTCTAATCGCCCGTCCATCGACTTCACCCGCGTCAGCTTTGGTTCCGCCCGATCCAGCTCCTCTTCGTTTTGCGGCTCTCTCCTGCTCGGGTCAGCTAGCGTGTGCCTGAGCGTCATCGTCGAGGCTGGTGACGACGCGGTTTTGCAGCGTGGGCGAGCGTCAGTTCACGAGCTGTGTCCGCCGCTTTCGATGGCGTGCTTTCCGCACCTATCGGCTCGACAATTGGTGTGGCGCCTAATTCTTGTGATATACACGTTATTATGATGATTTTCAGAGTGATAGAGAGAGAGTGTGTGTAGGAGGTGATAACTGATGATGATTACTCATGAGGGAGTTTTGTTGTGAAATGTCTGTGCGTGTTGGCCCTGAGGTTTTTCTTTGAAATACTTCGTCGGGCGCACTCCCTGGTGCAACCCTCGACGTCGTCCGGAACCCTAGCGCGACGCCAAGTGCGAAGGCCATGGACGACTCCCTCGACGACGGCCTCCTGGCGAGGTGCCGCCGGGTGCTCTCGCCGCGTCGCATGCTGCAGCGCGGCGAGGTGAGTGGTGCGCTCGGTGACCTCGGCACGTTTCTGCCGGACGTCGTGGCCCTCTCGAGCGTGATGGGCTCGGCGCTCCCCGCCGCGTCCTTTGTCTTCTTCTCGGGTTTGTGGAACCTCGTCTCCGGCTGTCTTTTCGATTTGCCGCTCCCGATCCAGCCGATGCACACGGTGGTGGCAGTGGCTCTGACCGAGGGCCTCACCTACCCGCAGCTCGTCGCCTCGGGCCTCTGGCTCGGTGCGATGTTCACGCTCCTCGGCGGGAGCGGCTCGGTCGAGCGGGCGCGACGCTGCATCCCGGTCTGCGTGGTGCGCGGGCTGCAGCTCGGCCTCGGTGCGCAAATCTTTAGACGCTTGCCGCCCAGCCGGCGCCGCGGCCGCGGCCGAGCGTGCTCTCCCCACCACCCGCGCCAGGGCTCAAGGTCTTCTCGACCGGCGCCGGCATGGCGACTCGCGAGCGAGCCCTCCTCACCCACAGCCTCGACGGGCTCCTCGCCGCCCTCCTCTCTGCGGCGGTCGCACTCGCGCTGTACGGCGACCGAAAGCGCCCCGCCAGCCTCGTGCTGTTTGCCCTCGGTTGCGCCGGCGTGGCACGCGCGCTGCCCGCGCCGCCGTCCCTGGGCCTGCACAGCCCGCTCGCGCCCGTGCCGACTGTCGACGCGGCCGACTGGTGGCACGCTCTCGTTCGCGCCGCGCTGCCGCAGCTTCCCGTCACGCTGCTCAACGCAGTGGTTGCGACCGCCAAGCTGGCGGAGGACCGCTCGCCCCGCTTGCCACTCCACCGCGTGTGTGTGGAGAAGCTTACCTCACCTCACCTTACCTTAGGACCTCTATCCGCGGCGAGACACGCCGAGCGTCGACGCGATCGCCCTCTCCGTCGGCCTCTCCAACCTCTCCACAGCGGCCGTCGGCCACTTTCCGTCGTGCCACGGCTGCGGTGGTCTCGCCGGGCAGCACCAGTTTGGAGCGCGCACAGGGTCCTCCATGGCGCTGCTCGGCCTGTGCAAGATGGGCCTCACCGTCGCCCTCGGCCCGGCGCCACTCCTCCGCGCCTTCGCCGCCTTCCCGCCTGCGGTGCTCGGCGTCCTGCTCGCCGTCGGCGGGGTGGAGCTCGCCGCCTGCGCCCGGGATGTGCGCGGCCGCTGCGGCTTTGTGATCATGCTGAGCGGCGCGGGGAGCGTGCTGCGCCTCGGCACAGGCGCCGCATTTCTCATCAGCTGCACCGCCGCCGCCGCCTTCCGCCTCGCGGGCCGAAGCCTCGACGAGGAGGACGAGGCCGGGGGCTACGAGCCAGCAGCGACCGACCCGGCGAACGAGCCGGAGGATGGGTAGGTTCTCTCTATCTCTATCCAGAGAACTTTTGCCATTTTTTCGCCCCACGCGCGTGCTGCTCGCCACGGGGCCACCGCCCACGCGGCCCCCCGGGCGCGGGGTAAGTACTGTAGTTTACTTTAGCGAGAGAGAGATGTCCCCGGCGAGCGGCGCGTCGCGCGACCTCCAGGTACGTCAGTATTTCGTAATTGCAGTAACCAGATGGGCTAAAACACGTCGACATTACCCCGGGGGCGCGCCCGGGGCCCGCCGGATTTACGCATTACGGTGTTTCATACACACACGTACATTATACATATGTCTCGTCATGGGATGACTCTCTCGAGGTTGCGCTACACGACGCGAGTACCGTAATCAGCGGGAACGCCTCTGAGCTGCGTTGAGGCATGTGCGTTGGCCGTTGGCCGGGCCGTCTGCGGCCCACCGCCCCGCTGGACCGCCCGCTCAAAAGTAGTCCGCCTCCGCGTCCTGCTTTGCCAGCTCGAGCAGCATCGGGTCGTCGAAGAACTTGTTGATGGACACGTCCTCGCTCAGCCCCTTCCGGCGGCGCGTCTTGACCATGAACTCGCGCGCGAGGTGCGGCGTCGGCTGCGGCTCGAGCGGGCGGAGGGCGACGTTCTTGTCGAGCGGGTCGCCCGGCACGATGGCCCAGTGGTCAAAGACGGAGAGGCAGAAGGCCTGCCCCTGCGTGTGCGAGCGCATGTCCGTCTCGAAGCCGAACGAGTCGATGACGGGAAGGTAGGCCTTGATCGTGTGGAGGGGCGTGCCGGGGCGCGGCCCCTCGGACGTGACGTGCCCGCGCCGGCGCGCGAGCACGGTGTAGATCGCGGGCACGCAGTCGACGGGCGCGCTGATGTCGACGAAGAAGATGGGCTCCATCAGCCGCGGCGTCGCCATCAGGAAGGCCGAGTAGGCGACGCGGCGCGCGGTCGGGATCACCTGCCCGCCGCCGCGGTTGATCGGCTCGGCCGCCACCGAGGCGTCGAGGATCTTGAACTTGACGTTGCGCATCGGCTCGTCGCAGAGCGGGCCCTCGCGGCACGACCACGAGAAGCCCTGCAGGATGAAGTCGCGGATACCGTTCAGCAGCTTCTTGTCCACCTCGGACGGGAGCGTGTCGTCCACGAGCACGTTGGCGCCCTTGTCGTCGGGGCCGAAGCCCCACACCGAGCGCGCCGCGAGCAGGTCCCAGTCGTACCGCTTCTGGAAGAACTCGCCCAGCCGCTTCCGCTCCCACCGGATGTCGACGGCGCCCGCCTCGATGTCCTCGGCGATCCCCTTGTCGAGCGGCTCCGCTATCATCGTCAGCTTCGACTTGCCGTTCGGCGTCTCGGCAAAGCACTTGAGCGACGACGTCTCGACGACCGTCTCGCAAAAGGCGACCACGGGGTCGGAGACCTTGACCTCGATCTCGGCGTAGACGTGCCGCAGGTCGTGCATCACGCAGTCGAGGTACAGCTCGCCCGTCCCCATAATGACGTGCTCGCCCGACTCCTCCACCTTGGTCGTGAGCAGCGGGTACGCCTTGTTGAGCTTGCGCAGCCCCTCGAGCATCTTCGGCAGCTCGGACGGGTTGAGCGGCTCCGCCGCGATCTTCATCGTCGAGAGCGTGTTGAAGGCGAGCGGGCGGAAGATGCACACGCCCTCGCGCGCCACGCCCGGCGCGCCTACGCGATGGGTGCAGAGAAGCCTCGGAGGCGGCGCCGAGACCGAGAGTCGGCACGGCCGCGCGCGCCGGCGGTGATGGTGCCCGACTTGACGAGCGACGCGTCGACGCCCTCGATGAGCGCCCAGCAGCCGGCGGGCACCTCGTTCACCTCGAGCCGGTAGCGCGACTGGTAGAGCCACAAGCGCGAGACGGTCCGGCGCGCAGAGTCCTCTTGGTCGTCGAGCGAGTACGACTCGCCGAGCACATTCACCTCCTGCCCAACCTTGAGCGTGCCCGAGAGCACGCGGCCGAACGCGTCGAAGGACTCGCAGTCGGGCCGGTGGTACCTACGCTCGGCCAATCTCGGGTCATCTCGGTCGCCCCCCTCGCGGAAGAGGCCGGGCAGTGTGGGGCGGGGGGGGGCACATCTTGGTCACGTTGACCATCAGCAGGCCCGACGCGTCGCACGCCGTCATGCTGCCCACAAAGTCGTCGCTCAGCGCGCCAGAGTAGGAGTGCTCCACCTTTGCCGCCGCCGCCGCCACCGGCGACGGCAGGTGCGCAACGCACGCGTCGGCGAGCCCGGCGTAGGAGCCGCCTGAGTCATTCATAATCGTGGAATGAATGAGGAGGAGTGAGGCATGCCCGAGCCCGGCGTACAGGAGCCGCCGAGGAAGCGGCTCATCACGAGCTTGAGGAGGGGCTTTGGGTCGAGCGCATACTCCTCCTTGCGCAGCGGCATGCCGAGGTCGCCGAGCGTCGCCTGGCGGTCGTGAGGAGGGGCGAGTCTCGCGCGCGGGGCACCTCGGTCGAATCACGGGCGGTGGCTCTCGAGCGCCGCCTTGAGGTCCTGCTCCGACTCGGAGATCGCCTGCGTCACGAGCTTGTACAGCGGCTCGAGGACGAACTGGACGAACGTGCGCGGCCCGCCCCCCTCGGGCGGCTTGCGCCGGAAGCCGCGCGTGTCTGGCTGGAAGTAGACGTCTCCCCACAGCCGGCGCGCAAAGGGGGCGGGCTTGAGGTCGGGATAGTACTCGGCGTACAGCGAGGCGAATGAGGAGAGCGTGAAGCACCAGTTGAGCTGCGACGAGCAGAAGACGACGCCGCCGTCCTCGGGCGAGAGGCGCGGGTGCTCGCCTACTCGCGGGTGATCTCGGGTGATCTCGGGTGCTCCGTCCTCGGCGGAGAGGGGGGGGGGGTGCGCTTGCCCGCGGACGCGGCGGCGATGGTTGCGTTTGCCTCCTCGATGACCTGGCGCACCTTGAAGTACGCGTCCTGCGGCGGCAGCTTGAGCTCGAGGATGAGTCGGTCCATCTTGTTGACGACGAGGACCTACACCTCCCACCCTCGGGTGAGCTCGGCTACTCTCGGCTGCCGTCCCTCCCGGGGGCACCGCGACAGCCGCGCACCAGCTGCAGCCGCTCGGCGAGCGCGTGCCGGATGAGCCGCTCTGTGTTTGAGGTGACGCCCTCGACGACGTCGACGACGAGCAGCGCGCCGTCGGCGAGCCGCAGGGCGGCGGTCACCTCGTCCTGGAAGTTGACGTGGCCGGGCGTGTCAATCAGGTTGAAGAGGTAGTGCCTGAGAGGGCAGCGAGTTCAGAGCTCACCCCTCGCTCCTCGGAGGGGGCGCGTCCATCCGCCGGACAAGGACGCGCTTCTCGCTCGACGACTGCAACAGCAGCGTCATCGGCGCGGCCTTGATCGAGAGGCCGCGCTTCTGCTCGTCGACGCGCGAGTCGGTGTAGCGCCGCTCCGCCATCACCCCTCCGACCTCGCGCTTGCCCGCCTTGCCTTGGTGCCCGCGCCGCGCCGTTCCGAGCAGGTGCGTGCAGCCGACGAGGCTGTCGAGCAGGCTGCGGCGGCGAGGGCGGGGCGGCGGCGGGGCGGGGCTGGTCAGAGCCGACGGGCGCCGGTGGCGGTCAGGCTCGCTCGGCCGCAGAGGCCTCGGTGTGTGGGCGAAGATGGCGCGCAGCCTGGCGAGGCTCGGTGCGTGTGGGCGCCAGCTGCCCGGAGGCTTCTCGGAAAGCTCTCGGAAGGCTCTCGGAAGGCTCTCGGTGAGCGGCGCCTGGTCTTTCCGTGGTGGAGGTGGCCAAGCACGGCGACGTTGCGCACCTGCGCCGAGGCGGGGAGGCAGGTGGGTGGAGGCGCGGCGTCCCTGGGGGGTGAGGTTGGGGAGGGGGGGGGGCGCCGGGCTGCCGGGCGGGGCAGCGGAGAGGGGGCGCGCCAGCTCTGGGTGCTTCATCAGCGAGCAGAGGAAGTCCGGCGAGTAGCGCGTCTCGGGCACGGACTTCTCGACGATGTCGAAGTCCTTGTGCTTGACCGGCGCGACGATCGGCTGCGTGATCGGCTGCGTGTCCTCGTCCTGCACCGTCGTCTCGACGCCCTCGCCGTACACCTCGAGCGCCGTCGGGTAGTACTTCTTGTCCTCGTGCAGCACGATGCGCGAGTCGTCACCGGCGTCGCCCGCATCGGCCATCTCGATGTCGCCGCCGCGCTGCGGCTCATCGGCCTCCTCCTCAATCTCCTCCTCCTCCTCGTCCCCCTCCTCGATCAGCGGGCCATCCTCCTCCTCGTCGCTGTCGAGATCTGCCGGCGGGGTGGGAGCGTGGCTGGTGAGGAAGCCCGCGGGGTGAGGGCGGCGGCGGCGAGGGCGGCGAAGGAGACGGCAGAGCGGCGAGAACGACGGGGGTTGCGGCGGGGGTGGCGCGGGTGCCGTGGCGGCGGCGGCGGCGGCGGCGAAGCAGGCGGCGGGGATGGGAGGGAGCGAGCGCAGCGGCGACGGCAGGGGCGGAGGCGGAGGGCGGCGTGGTTGGCATCGCCTGGCCCGATATAATTGCCAAACTCGTCGTACAGCTCCTCCTCCATGGCGGCACGCGTAGAGAGCGCGCCGCGACAAGTGGAGTGGGGGAAAGAGAATTCGCAACCCGCCGCCCGGGACAAGCGATCCCACGACAGCGATTGTGGGGACTACATGATCCGTACGTGAAGGGTGGAGGGGCCCGTCCAGGGCCCGCCCGCAGAGCTAGAAATCACGCGTGAGTGTGTGTCTTCTTCTCGCCTCGCGTGAGCGCGTCTGCGACGCGCGCCTTGCGGGCAGAGCCCTTAGCCACCCTTTACATCTTGCGCGGTGAAGAAAGAAAGGAAGAAAAGCAGGAGTTGCGGCGGCCGGCACCGCCACCAGGCCCGCCCCCCCCACCACCGCCTCCGCCCCCGCCGTTGGAGCGACCGCTGGGTCGAGGGGCCGCCCCTGAGGCCCCATACCAGGCGGTGCGGCCGCCAGTGCCGCCACCGCTTCCGCCACCCCCGCCCCCACCTCTGCCCCCGCCGCCGGCGTGGCCGTCACCGTAAGAACCCGCGCGGACCTGGGGGAACCCGGAGCCGCTCCGTTGGAGGTTGGAATACCCGGGGGAGGGGACCGAGGGGGGGGAGTCGCCGCAAAACGATAACGGGTGTACGCCGGCGAGCCGAAAGGCCGAGACCGGAGGACCCCAGGTGGAGCTTGGGGTCAGTTGTCGGAGGAGGCGAGAGATGAGCTGACGCGGCCTCTACGAGTGGAGTCGGGAAGTACGAGCTCGCCGGGGGTGGACCCGTCGCGGCGGCAGCTGGACCGCTGTGATCTACGACGAGGAGGGCCACGCCTCCCCGAGCCTGAAGAGGAGCCGGCGGAGGGGAGGGGCGAGCCGAGAACGATAGAGAGGCCGCGGGCGCGGGCGCGACTCGTCGACCAGGGAGAGCGGGCCCGACCTCCCTGGGAGGGGTGCGGTGGCGACACGACACAATGCCGCCGCCCTCGCCCGGGGAAACTTCAGCAGGACAGTCGACGCTCTCGGAGGCGGCAGTACCAGTCGGAGGTGAAGCGGAGGTGAGACCTCGGCCAAAGAAGAGACATCAGAAACGGCTACAGCGGCCGTCACACGACGCTCGGCTGGCGAATAAAAGAGCGAATCAGGGAGACCGGAGCCCCGGGGGGGCGGGCGGTGGAACCCTGAGACGGGATGCTGAGCGAGGACCTGTGTACGTGCGTACCTCCACCACCGCATCGACACCACCACCGAGATGCTCTGCGTCGAGAGCGACAGTGTTGGCTTCATGCAGTGAAGCGTAAGCGTGCTGCACCGACTACTCGTAAAGAAAGAAAGAAAGAAAACACACAACCCAAGGGAGGGATGGGAGAACGGCACGCCGCCACCACACAGGGATTTTAAGGAGAGGAGTGTGGTGCGCTAGCCGTCGCCCACCCTGGGGAGTCTGCCTCTTCGTATCTCTTAGTCGTTGTGCGTATTAGCCGGCGGGGGTTTCTCTTTTGATGATCAAGGCGGCGCCCCGGTGCGGTGTGTGGGTGACTCTCTTCTCGATGTGGTCAAACACCTCCACCGCGCTCGGCTTCTCCTGGCTGCCCGTCGGCGAGTGCACGCGCGGGGAGCACCACTCGCAGTCCTCTCTCGACGCGCTCGTGGGGTTCGGACTCGTCGGCGCCGCGAGTGCCGGCATCTGCATCACGCTCAATGTGCAAAAACTGGTGCACAACCGCAACTACGACCCGGTCACGGGGCGTCAGAGCATCCACTTCACCCGAATCCCGCTCTGGTGGGCGGCCGTCATCGCCAACGGTCTCTCGGCGCGCGCCTCCCTTCCCGGGCCGCTCCTGCCGCCGCCACCCCGAACGCCCGCTCCTGTCTCGCCCAGGAGCTCGTCAACCTGGCCGCGCTCGGCTTCGCGCCCGCGACGCTGGTTGCGCCGCTCGGCTGCCTCTCCGTCGTCTTCAACGCCTTCACCGCCGTCTTTTGGCTGCGCGAGCCCTTCTTCAAGCGCGACCTCCTCGGGCTGGCACTGATCAGCGCAGGCGTCAGCTGCATCGTGATGGGGCAGGTGGGCGCTGTCGGGGAAGTGTCTAGGACGTGTCTAGGAAGTGTCAAGGAAGCGTCTAGCCTGCATTGTGACGGGGCAGGTGGGCTCGCCGGCGCCTCCGATCACGGTGCCGTACCTGCGCGAGGTCGTCGCCTCGTCCTCCTTCTACCTCTACCTCGCCTCCCTCGCCGCCTTTCTCGCGCTGCTCGTGCTGTGGGCGCAGCCGCGCTTCGCTCGCCGCTTCGCTTGGGTGTACCTCGCCGAGAGCGCCGTGTTTGGGTCGGCGACGACCGCCGCCGCGCGCGCGTTTGCCTCCCTCTGCGGGCCTCCGCTGACCGGCGACTGGGCCAACGCGACCAGCCGCGAGGGGTGGCCGTTCTTTTGGGGGTCCGAGATCTAGCCGAGATCAGCCGAGGTGCAGCCGAGGTGCAGCCGAGGTGCAGCCGAGGTGCAGCCGAGGTGTAGCCGAGGTGTAGCCGAGATGTGGTCCGGCGGCGAGGACGCGACGGTCCTGTTCTGAGGCGCGAGGCCGACGCTCTGCTGTGACCTTCGTCTCTTCACACCTCGCACTCTGTGGGAAGGTCGCTGCTGCTGCTATTGCTGACCGCGGTCGGGTCGCTGCTCACCCAGAACCAGGCGAGGGAGGGAGGGAGGGGGAGGGAGAGAGAGAGAGGGAGGGAGAGAGAGAGAGAGAGAGAGAGAGAGAGAGAGAGAGAGAGACGAGTCTCACCGGAGCGACACACAGGCTCACACAGGCTCTCAGCCGGCTGCGCTGCGGCACAGGCGATGGTGCGTTTCTCCAACTCGGAGGTGGTGCCGCTCTACTTTTGCTTCTTCTCGGTGGGCGGCGTGTACGGTGCCCCCCACCCCCACCCCCCAAACAGCCCCGCCGGCCGGGCTGCGAGCGGCGCTTCTTCACGCGTCTCTGCATGAACAGGTGCGGCGCTGGCGTACGACGAGCTCTGCTGGCCGGGCGTGCTGCTGCTGCTGCCAGGGCTCGCGCTCTGCATCGGCGGTGTCTTTTGCATCTCGTACCGGCGCGAGGCGCGGGTGGCGCGGCTGCGTGCTGCGGCGGGGGCGAGGGAGGAGGCGCGGGATAATGGTGACAGAAATGGTGATAGTAAACAGTAGTAGCAGCAGCAACAACAACAACAATAGGTGCGGCCCCTCGCCCGCTCGTGCATCTCGGCGACGCACAGCGCCTCGTCGCTGAGCATCGGCAGCGTGCCCAGCGTCGTGAGCAGCCTCTCGCTGCCGCCCGGAGCCGCGGCCGCTGCTACGGGGGGCAACAACGGCGGCTCGGGCACCGGCGCGGCCTTGCTCGCCGACAGCGCGCCGGACGAGGGCGGTGCAAGCAGTCGCGCATGACCATGAGTCGAGGCGTGTAGACGTACAGTAGTGTTGAGAGGTTATTCCCACTTGCAGTCTAAGCAGCCTGTGAAGTCTTCAGACTGGGTCAGACTGGGTCAGACTGCATCAGACTGCTTCAGACTGCTCAGACTGGGGGAGCACAGTCTGACACAGTCCGCCGCGGTCTGACGCAGTCTGGCGCAGTCTGACACATGTTCAGACTGCGCCAGACAGCAGACCCTGCGCTCTAGACTGCGCCAGACTGGAGGACATGAAACTGCGCTCCGACCGACCCACACTCTCGTGCTCCCCCACCCCGGTCCCTCGCCAGACTGCGCTAGACTGCGTCAGACTCTGCTAGACTGCGTCAGACTGCGTCAGACTGCTTCAGACTGCTTCAGACTGCTTCAGACTGCCTAGACTGTGAATAGACTGCGCAGTATATGTGAACTCTCACAGGCCAGCGCACAGCGCCATAGGAGGTATTTTCTTCTCAATAACAAGGCTGTGAATAGACTGCTTAGACTGCAAGTGGGGCGGATAACGTCGACAGCCCGTCGGCCGGTCGCCAACCAGCCGCGGCCACCTCTCTGCAGGAGATATGCTTCTCCTCCTCTCCTCTTCCGCCCCTGCCACCTCCCGCCCCAATATCCTTTTCCTCATGTGCGACTCGATGGATGGGCGCGTTGTCGACCCCTCCGCGCCACTCTCGAAGCTGGTTGCGACGCCGACCTTTGACGCACTTGCGAGTGACGGCGTCAACTTTGTGCGAACGTACGCCTCTTCGCCGCAGTGCGTGCCCTCGCGCGCGAGCATGCTCAGCGGGCGTCGGACCGACCAGATCCGCGCCTTCTCGAACGACAACGGGCTCGCGCTCTCGCCCGGTGGCGAGCCAGACGAGGCCTGCGTGAGCGCGTACGGCGAGGCGTGGTGCAGAACCCACGGCGCCTCGCAGGCGCTCGAGACGACGCTCTTCGACGAGCTGCGCAGCGGTGGGCATGCTGTCGCGCTCTCTGGGATCTGTTCAACAGCCAGTGACTTCTACGAACCACCCTGTAGGCGGGTATGAGGTGGCGCTATTTGGGAAGGTGGACATCGGCGCGGGCGTGCTGCGCAGATTCGGGCCGGCGCCGACGCAGGACGGCTACCACGGCGGCGCCTCGCTCCCCATCGTGACGCGGGCGGCTGACGTGCGGCGGCCGACCAAGCCGAACCCGCTCGAGCTAGTCGACGACCACGCGGCACACGTCCACCCCGAGGATTGGAAGGTGCGCGTCTCGCGACATCTCGCCACGTCTCGCCACGTCTCGCCACGTCTCGCCACGTCTCGCCACGTCTCACCTGGTATGGCCTCATCTCGCCACGTCTCGCCACGTCTCGGCATGTGTCCCACCTGCAGGTGCACGACCGCTGCAGCGAGTGGCTGAGAGCGAAGGGCGACGCCTCCCGCAGCAGCGGTGGCGGAGGCGGGCCGCCCTGGTTCCTCTACTGCAGTCTCAACATCCCGCACCCCGCCTTCCGCACGAACGCGACTTGGCTGCACGCGGTGGACGAGGCAGCCGTCCGCGCGTCGCCGCCTGCGTGGCCTGCCGAGGGCTCGATGCATCCGTACGACGCGTGCGGATGAGCCGAGACGAGCCGAGATCGGACGAGGTGATATCAGAGCACTCGAGGCTGCTCGAGATAGATGAGAGCCTCGGGCGACGAGCCGGCGTGCCGCAGCCGGCCGCCGCACGCACTTTGTGGCACCGATGCCGCAGGTACATGACAACCTCCAAGGCTGTGGGCGACGACCAGCCTGTCTTTGGGGAGGTCGGCGTCTTCCGCGTGCGACGCACGTACCTCGCGATGGTCGCCGAGGCGGACTACCTCATCGGGCAGGTCGGCTGCACGTATGCCCGTGAGACGTGTCGCCTCCTCAGCCGCGCGACGCCTCCTCCGCTGCACGTTGCAAGACTGGAGATCTCCCCATACCTCCCCACATCTGCTCCGCATCACGTCGCAAGACTGGCTGGCGGACCCCACTCCTCGGGCAGGTGTCGTCGAGAGAACCTCCCCAGATCTCCCCCATCTCCCCCAGATCTCGTCTCTCCCCGTCGGGCAGGTCGTCGAGGCGGCGCGCGAGGCCAAGCTCTACCGAGGCGCGCTCGTCGTCTACCTCTCTGACCACGGAGAGATGAGCATGGAGCACCGCCAGATCTGGAAGAACGCGCACTACGAGGCGCGCCGCCACTCTCGCCCTCGCCTCCAGCCGCCCCGCCTCCGCCACCGCCCTCGCCGCCGCCCTCGCCGCCGCCCTCGCCGCCGCCCTCGCCGCCGCTCTCGCCGCCGCCCTCGATGCCGCCGCCCTCGCCGACCCCTACGACGCCATCCTCGCCGCCGCCCGCACCGCACAGGCGTCGCTGCGCGTGCCCCTCCTCCTCGCGGGCGGTGCTCTACCGGTCGGCCCCCGCTTCCGGCGCGGCGCGGTGGCCACGTCACTCGCCTCGCTGCTCGACATCTTTCCGACGATCGCTGAGGCGGCGCAGCTGCGGCCGCTGCGCAAGGGGGCGCTCGCCGGCGAGCCGCTGCTCCCGCTCCCGAGGAACACGCGAAGTGCGTCCCTTCACGGCTCGCGCTGTGAACAGGCGAGTCGCTGCTCCCTCTCCTGAGGGGCGGGGCGCCGGGGCAGCCGCCGCGCCGCAGGGGTTACATCGTCTCGCAGTACCACTCCAACATGGGCAACACGGCCTCGTACTGCCTCGTGCAAGGCCGCCTCAAGTACGTGGCGTTCGGGCGCGACCGCGACCGCGACCGCGTTCCGTGGCAAGTGCGTTCCGTCTCGAGGGCTCTCCGCTGTCGGTAGGCGCGCGCTCAACCGCACGTTTGGCTCCTACGGGCCGCAGGCGCGCTAGGCCTCTCCTACACCTCACTTCCGCCCCTCATCTGGACGCCTGATCTGGACACCTCTCCGGACACATTGTGTACCGCGCCAAGCCTGTTGCGCCTCTCCGCACCTCCCCTCCCACGCCCCACATCTCCACACCTCGTCCTCACGCCTCTATTCACACACCCTCCCCGCGGTCCTCAGCTCTTCGACCTCGAGAGCGACCCGGCCGAGGTGACCAACTTGGCGCGCACGCGGCCGGAGGAGGTGGCGCGGCTCGATGCGCTGCTGCGCGCAGAGCTCGGCTCGGGCGAGAACCGACTCTCCCCCGACGGCGACCCAGACGCGATCGACGCAGCGGCCAAGCGGCTGCAGCAGGCAACCTTCCTCGAGCACTTCGTCCGCGACGCGTCCCGGCTGCGCGCGCAGTGGGAGCGGCTTCTCCGCTGCGACGCGCAGGTCGCGGCCGCCCGCGCCGCCGGCGAGCCGCGGCTCGCGCGCCTCGCCGAGGACTCGGAGGCGGAGGCGCCGTGCGTCGCAAACGAGGCGCCGCTCGACGCTGCCGCCGCCGAGGCCTTCTTCGCGCGGGGCGAGGCGCAGGCGTCGCCCCTAGACGACAGCGCCGCGCGGGGCGGGCGCACGCCGCTGCGGCAGCTGCTCGAGCGCGCCTACACGGGCTTCGACGAGGACGACTGGCGCAAGGTGCAGTGGTGGGCCGCGCAGGACATCCAGCCACCCTTCGAGGCCCGCGGGTGAGATCGCAGATATGCGTGTGAGCGTGTGTCTCGCTCGGCCTCGTGCGGGGGTCTCGCAGTGTGCGCCCCCGGCTCTAGCTGCGCCTCGCTGAGGACGCGCTGGAGCCCGGAGCGCGGAGGTGGAGGGTGGAGCTGGCCTCGCGGCTTGCAGTTTTGCGAGTTGGCACCTTGGCACGGCTCTCTTCGGAGGTGGTGGGAGCTGCAGGTGCAGCAGTTGGGCGTGGCCCTGCACCCGCGTGGGCCTGGGGCCCTGGCCCCTGGGGGGTGGGGGGTGGGGGTGTGCGTGGGTTATGTTGGGGGGCTGCGCAGTGTTTGTGTTTGATTATGGGGCGCGCGGCGGGTGGCTCACACAACTTCTGGCGGGGGAAGATCCTAAGAGCTAGGCCATCCCCGCACACGCACAACCACAAGGCTCTTGCACGCGGCACCTTCACTCACATCTCGGTTTTCGTGCGCTGCGCCGCTTCTGACGAGCGCGCTCTCCCGCCGCCGCCAATACCGCTCCCGCCGCCCCCTTCCTCACCTCCGATCTCATCTCGCCGCCGCGGCCGGCCATTGGGAAATCACGCCTAGTAGCCGAGCGAGTCGACGTGCATGGCGAGCTCGACGAGGCGGTTCGAGTAGCCCCACTCGTTGTCGTACCACGAGACGAGCTTGACGAAAGTTTCCGTGAGCGAGATGCCCGCGCCCGCGTCGAAGATGGAGGAGCGTGAATCGCCCTGCGCGCACGAGAGGCCAGGGCTGGTGAGGCAGGGCGAGCGAGGCCAGAGAGCCCAGGGCTGGTGAGGCCAGGGAGCCCAGGGCTGGTGAGGCGCGTGCCTGGAAGTCGGTGGAGACGACCTGATCCTCGGTGTAGCCGACGATGCCCTTGTAGTCCGGCGACTCGGACGCCGCCTTCATGGTTGCCTTGATCTCGTCCATCGTGGCGCCCTTCTCGAGCACGCAATCGTCCGCACCCGATTATCATACAAGGACCTACCGCGA